TTATATAATCATTCAAATATTTTTAATAATTTTTTTATATATTAATTTATTAAAAATATTTTAATTTTATTATTATTATATTTTATATTTAAATTATCAGATTTTTAAAAATTTTTCTCAACCTCACTTATCAGTTAAATAAAGTGCAATATAAATCTTTCACTCATGTAACCGTCGTGATTATTATAATCACATTTTGAATTGAAAAGAAAGTAAAAGTACTTCGGATGGCCTTCAAGTTCAATGTTAGGCTTGATATTTTTTTATTTTTTTAGTACGAATTAATACTATCAAATGTTATTTCTACTTAAAAGAAAAAGTGCAATATGAAAAAAATTTGCGTAAGCAATGGACAAAAGAAGCCTAATTAAAGCTTTAAGCCTGGTCATGAAAGCCAAATGTCAATCATTAAACAAAGCAAACCTTGTAAAAAAACTAGTAATTCCTTAACAATCAATGTCACTTTCATGTCAACATCTGAGGAGATAATATCATCTCTCTGAACTTTCCCATTTAATAATACTAATTTACAAATCCAAACGTACGTGACTCGATATGCAGTCTCCACTAACACAGGAACCATGGACTGCAAGTTTCTTCTTCATAGGATAAAAATTGCAGAGAACAAAAAATGAAATGAATTAGGAATGTTTAGCTTCTTCTCTGTCAAACTTTACTCGAGCTCTTTCTCTTTCTTCAGCAGTTCTGCAGATGGAATATGCATTCCATGTTTCTTCTCGTACTCTTTCTTGGATTCTTCCAAGCCCCTGGACACCTAATAATCATACAAACATGCATAACTTAGAAAAGATTAATTAAGATCCATATGCTTAAATGCGGCTCAGAAACGGGCCCTGGAAAATATCAGGTGGTGTTGTGTACCTAGCTGACTAGATGGTGAACTTATCTATACTATATATAACAGTTTAGTAAAAATTTATTTATACATAAATTTTATATATTATATTTATATAAAATTTTAATTATTTATTTTTTATTTTTAATAATTAATTAAGATTTATTCATATTTATTAATTAAAAATAATTATCAATTTTATTTAAAAAATTATAATAAATCTTAACTATTAAATGTTAAAAAATAAATAATTAAAATTTTATATAAATATAATATGTAAATGCATCCATCCTCATAGTATTCATTACTTGAATATAGGGTAAATAACATGCATCTCTGGTTAAATGCATTGTTATCTTATAACTTTTGTCCACATGGTAAAAATGGGTCTCAATAAAATATAACATCATTATTTAATCACATGCTGAAAATTACTTATGGTATCGACACCTAGAAATATGGTATCGACACTCAACCAACATCGAATTTTCAGAACCCTTCTGCAATTTTCTCAATGATAAAATAGCACATCTCGTCCTCCAGCTTCTACCTATAACTTCAAATTCAAACATATAAAATGCACAAAAAAGTACTGATCTTACAAATTATGGTGTACAAAAAATTATTATACTTAAATAATTAGAGGTTTTTTTTTTTTTTTGTTATCGGTTAATTTTTGTCAAACATTTTATATAAAAATGTAACTAGCTAACTTTGGGTCTATTTGGCTCAGCTTTTTAGAGCTTTAGTTTTTTAACATTATTCATGTTTTATAAATTTAAATTTTTTTTAAAAAAAAACTTATAATTACATCTTTAAATTTTTTTTTACCTTAAAAAAATCTTAAACAATAAAAATTTAAAAGTTTCAAACTCTTTCTTTTTATAAACTTTTTTTTATGAACTTCTTTTTTACTCATTTTTTTCTATCTTTAAAAAAACTTTTTAAATTTTCTCTCTAATAAAAATTTAAATTTATTACTTATAAACAATACAAAAAAAAAAAGTAAAAACTCCACCAAACAAGCCCTTTATTCCATAATAGACTAAAGGAATGAGAGACTAAGGAAAATGCAATGTGGGGGCAAAATTGACTTGGAAGAAATGGAGGCTACAGAGCGTGGATGGGGAGAGTTGATTGAAAAGCTCCATAAAAAATGTATGGAAAATAAAAAAGATAAAGCAAGCAAATGAATTATGGATATTTTGTTCATATTTTGTTTTTGTGATAATAACTTGATGCCCCAAATATTGATCTTTTAAAAATTTCAAGTTATATTTTGTAGCTGTATTAAGTAAGTTAAGTTCTTAATGATTATATTTATATCCTTATGAATTAGGCACATTGGTTGCCAAAAAAGCCTATTTTGTATCTTGCATAAATTTTTTAATAGTCAATTTGTTTTATATTTAAATATATTGACAATTTTAACCAGTTAATGATAGATACTAAATATATTCTTAAATATGAATTGGTTGCATGATGAGATACATTTTATATACTTCAATTTTAGTTTTTAAGAATTTTATATACTGAATTCAAAGTTACAGAGTCAAGGTGTTCATTATATGGAAGTAGGAGGACAAGATATGCTATTTTATCATTGAGAAAACTGGAAAAGGGATTCAAAAACAACACAGGTTTAGAGTCACCAACAACCTGTTGATATGAGTGAAAAGAATTCGGCTTCTTTTAAGTAAATTATTGAATTCGAGTTTTGTGAATGAAAAAATAAGTGTTGAGAGAACTTTTTCACGTATGGAATCCAATTCAATTTGACTCCGAATTAATTAAAATTTAATGTAATTTTTGGATACCAAAGCGTTAATAACAAAAAATAAAAAAATAAAAAAAAGGTTGAGTGTCGAATCATATTGCTGGATATCGACACAAGCAGTCTGCAGTATGTGGTTAAGTAAAAATATTGTATTTCATTAAGACCCATTATTGCCATATTAAACAGAAACAATAAAATAACAAAGCATTAATTTAACTGGAGATGACGGCGTTGACGGGAAGATCGAGGTTGTTATAACTTTCAATCAAACGGGAGGACGATGGTTGGCCTTTTTGTCTAAAGTTGAGGAATTATTAAGAATTTTTGTTAAGTAGAGGAATGAGAATAACTCCTTTTATAAAGTTTAAGGATTTTTTTGTGACATTATCCCTTAAGAATTACAATCGTAAACACACTTTCGAAGCTTTTTATTGATTACTGTATCGTAATCCCTGCAAAATTGAACCACTTTTCTTCAGTAGAATGGCACCACTTAACAATACCTCACCCGTCGGTCCCGCATTGATTGTTTTTACTAAATTTTTGTTTTAACCAGAAGCAACATTCATTTAAAAATCATCAATAAAAATGATTCGCAGAGCTTACAAATTGTAAAGAAACAACAATCAGACTAACTAGACGGATCCCACTATATAAACTGTTACTGTTGTCCCCCACATCCAATCGCTAAATAAGAATAATCATTATTTGCCTTTTTCTTGACTCTTAATTCTAAGTTGAAAAATAATTGATATATATAATATTTTTAATTTAATTTATTTTTAATATTTATATTAATTTAATTATTAAAATATAATATAAATATAATTAATTTGTATATTTTGTATACATAATTATATTTTTAAGTTTATTAATTTTTAATTTAAAAATAATAATTTTTCAATAAATATATTATATAATATGTTAAATTAAAAGTTTTTACTCATCAGTGCCTGAGATATTTAGATAATATAGACACTGATCTGCTTTTACTCGAGTCTTTTTATTGACTTGATTAGGGTGAAAAACATTTTACTCGCTTATCTCTTATGACTAGACTTATGTGGTGCTAAGCGGCATTTGCAATGCATTGAGTTTTCAAGGGAACATAAAATATAAAAAATAATTGATTGTCAAAAGCAGAAAAAGGAAAATTGATGGAAAAGAATTATTACACCAATCAAAGTATTTATGTGCAACAAATATAGTCAGCCAGCACTTCAACGTCTGGCCCCTGCTTCTAGGATTGCAGGAGCATGGTTGAAAACACCAAGAAATGTGGACCACCTTTCTTGGATGCAAGCTCTGCTACTTGGAAGATCTGCCTCAATGCTTTGGATCCGTGAAAACATAGTAGGATGCTAATTCTAAAAATGAAAAACTCTTTTACAGTTCAATACAATTTGAATTGTATAAATTTTTAAATGAAAAAAAACCCTAATATCAAGAGATTCATCCTTCGATTAAAAGTCTTTGTTTTAAAGTCAAGTGCAGTCCAAACTGCAAAACATGAATAATTATATGAGAAAGAGCTTATCTCTCATCTAAAGGTCTCAATTTTCTAATCCAACTAACAAACTAGTAGATACTTTTAAAAAACAGGTTGTCTTATATTATTTGTTTTCAAATCATATTGAAAAAAAAAAACGCAAAAAGAAGTAGCCATAGAACACTTTTAATCATCAATGGCAAGCACTTGATTAGATGTTAGTAGGTAGATAAAAGTTTCTACATGCATGAAACAACGGTGTGAAGTGCGTCAAACCAAAGCTATAAGTTAGGGCCAATAAGAGATTCTTCTTATGTTTTTATAAAATCATGAAAGCAACTATATCAGCACTAATGAGGTGAAGCTGTAAGGGAAGTATATAAGATAGCACTACACAATATTGAGAAATTGAAATCAAAGGATTTCATAACATACTCTGAGTGCTGCCACCATCAGTTTAGATTTAGGATCTCAGTCAAGTGGTAGATGTGTATTTCACACAGTTAACCATGCTTTCAATAGTCATGATGATTGATAATGATTTATAAACCACTTAGTGTGTTTGGTTTGAGTTGAGGGGAAGAGAAGAAATGTCTTTGTTTGAATAACAAAAATTGAAAGGGAAGGGAGGTGCTTTCTCTTCATTTGTTTCAATTTTTTTGGTATTTTAGTGTATCCAATCAAGGAAAACGGAGGAAGAGGAAGGGAGGGAAAACCTCTGTTTCGCTCAAACCAAAAAGGAAGTACGGACGTGATCATCTGACTGACTGCCAAAGTAGTTCCCATGGACGTTGCAATCCAGGCCACCAATTATATCCTGTCCACCTTCTTTCTATCCTGAAAGAGGGAGGGGACAAATCAATTATCCAAATTAGAGCATTTTGAATGCTTGTGTGTCAACAATTTGCTAGTTACCAACAAAAGCAATTTGCTTCGAAAAAGAAAGACAAGCGTTGAAACCCACAATTTTGTTTGCCAAGAATATAAGACCCACACAAGTCCCCCCAAACTAGCTTTCCCATTTTCACAAATTCACGTAGAACATGGGACTGAATAGATAACACATTTTCAGTCAAGAAGTGAAACCCCAGATACTCAAACTTGTGTTGAAAATAATCAAAATGAAAGCAAAGACGAAGGACGATAGTTGAGGAATTTAAAAGCATAATTTTTTTTTTTTGAACAACTTGTCAAAGGACGGGGTTGAAACCCGCCTATAGAGAAAGGAAAATGCACCTCAAACTGACAAGATGTCAGTTGACGCGAAGGACCACGTACTTAAAAGCATAATTCTTGTAAATTAATGAACAAAAAATTTAAATAAACCATTTAGGAAAAAGAAACTCTAGTCTTCACGTCCTATAAGTACACATCACAGCCTATCATTGAGCTTTCAACATAAAAGAGTATGTCTACATTTACTAAATTAAAAGATGAATAAGGAATACAAATTAGAAAGGGATTTTGTACAAGGAAAATAATTTATTTTGTAATGTTTATTGACAATAAAATTTTTTAACATAATCTAACACAATTTTGTTGGTTTTTTAAATTTGGGTAAGACACATAAATCATTATACATTTATTTATTTAAAATCATGTAAACATAGTGTCATTTACAATAAAATTTCCATTGTTAAAAAATCAAATCGTTTGGATAAATACAGGAAAGAGGCGAGGAAGAGAGTGAATAGCAGAAATTAAGGATGTATATAACTGTATGTATATACATATATATATATATATATATATTTTGAACAAATTACAACCAAACCTATCATATTAAACGGAAAATGGGGAAAGGGATCATCGGGACTCAAACTTCTAACCCAGGAGGTGTTCCCACAAACAACAAAGTGATAAACCACTTGGTCTATGCATGAAGAACGTATATAATTGTATATTGAAATTGCTTTTCCAAAATTTTCTAATTCTGCTATTCTCAAAAATATAATTGTATATTGAAATTGTTTTTCCAAAAATTTCTAATTCTGCTATTCCCATCTCATCTTATTTTTTCCCTCTGTTTATCCAAAAAAATCCCCTTTTTGTTTGTCAAAATGACTATTACTGATAAAAATTAATATATAAGAGTTATGATTTAATCACACGTAATTTTTACAAACGTCATTTATACAAAACTTTGATCATCTATTTTTTTATTATGAATGGTTAAAATTTATCCTTTCTTTATTATTATTCATCTCTTCATTATCAATTGTTGAAATTTATCTACTTTTTATCTTCTTCTTCTTTTTTTGTGTTAGTAATGTATGTAAAAGTTGTCCATAAATAAGTCCTAACTCTACTAATAAACACAGAATTATTTTTCATACTAGTATATGAGAAGATTTTTCTAATCTCGGTGGATAAGGATGCAAAACTAAAGAGACAATTTTAACCATAGCATCTGCAGAGAAAACATCAGATTATCTCTTTCTGCTTTTCATTTAATAATAAAAATTCAAATTGGGGTTTCAAGTTATCCAAACATGCGTCGATATATCATAACTGCAGTCTCTACTAACACGAGGACAATGGACTGCAAGTTTCTTTTTCATATGATAAAATTGGAAAGAACGAAAAAAGAAATAGGCAAATAGCAACGTATGTACATGTTTAGCTTCTTCTCAGTCAACTCTTACTCAAGCTCTTTCTCCTAAAGCACTTCTGGAGGTTGAATATGCTTTCCATGTTTCTTCTCGTACTCTTTCTTCGATTCTTCCAAGCTCCTAGACACCTAATAATCATGCAAAAATGCATTACTTAGAAAAGATTAATTAAGCTCCATCCTTAATTTTAGTGAGAACTGAGAAGTAATGACTCGTTACATTAAATTAGCTAACTTCATATTAGTTTTGAAAAGCAACAAATTAGTCAACAAAATCAAAGCATGAAGGAGTATTCAGCCATAGGATCTTATTAGAAATTCAAAGTCCATTAATATGTATACAAGATGAACAGAATAAAGTAAAATAACAAAATATGTAAATCAATTATCAAGCAGAAACCTCTCAAAAGAAAAATCATAGAAGTAGAAGACTACTAAAAAGTTGTGTTTTTGGCACAAAAACACTACCAGAGATGGGGACTATTATTACTCCACATTTAAGTTCATGACATACAAGTCTAAGAAAAGAACAGCATAGAGAAATGTAGACGACTAATGAATATACCATGTAAAGAGAGAAATGTTGACTACAAGCATGACGGAGAGGGAAAGAGAGAAAACCTTCAATGAGTAAGCCATTGGAAGTAATGTCTCTGGATCCATTGCATCCTTAGGGAAGTTACGCAGAGCATGAATGAGTTTCTCAAAAGGTAATTTTATCTGATGAACAAGTCAACAAGAGTACTGCAAATTTAAGCAGAAAACCAAAATAATAATAATAGTAATAATAATAATAATAGTCCGTATTTTGGATCTGGAGCAGACTTTAAGGTCTCAGTTACTTACCAAGTCATCATGGCAGTATTTTAATAGAGCCAAACCAACCTTGAAGACAATTTTGACACCCTAAGAAGGAAAGAAGAAAATTGATTTTTTATTAAACCAACTTTGAGACCAAAAAGTGGGCAACACTTGGAAAACTAACTAGTGCATCTAGTTACTCACCTCAGAGAGAAAGATGTCCCAAATTCGAAGAGCCAAATGGAAGGGAAAAGAGTATGAGAATACAGTAATAAACCACTGACTAGCATACATGCTTGGAGTAATCATTTCTTGGCTGAAATGCTCCCCCAGCTTTGGCAAGTGCTCCCTCACCAAGTGGTCAAACTGAAATAGGTATTGTTGTACAAGAGGCAAGCCAGCCTGCCAAGATATAATCATATAAAACACTATCCAGAGAAATAAAATCCATCTCAGTATCTCTAATTAGTTGACTGAGGATATATAGAGAAAAAATAAGCCAAAACGCTCCTGGGAATTTTGGCCGTAACTGGACCATTTGTACCCAATGAATCAGATCCACTCCATGTCATCTTTTCATAAAATGAAGTTCAAACAAGTTATGGTTTGGAAATAATAACAATAAACAGAAAAAAGTTTCAACAACCATTGAACGGTTTCTCAGCAAATAACAGCAGGCAATGAAGATAAACTACTTATAAATATACCATGCAGAGAAGACAATTACACTGAATGTAGCTGAATATTAACAAAATTAAAGCCAAGGAGTTTTGAAGGCTGATGAAAAGGCAGCAACACAACATAGTATTAAGTCAAAGGTTAGATGCCACCTCTGGAGAGAGTGACAGTTGCAATCTTTCCCAACTCCTTTCAAATACTTAGAATTGCCTAGACAATTTTACATCCCAGCCAACAAAAAAAGTTACTGGGGGGAAAAAAATTACCTGATATAATCCTTCCATGGGAGCATGGACAGCACCCTTAAGTAACGCAACTAATAACCAAAATGCATCCTCTTCACTCATATAAAGAAGCAAAAGACCTGCTAAAAAACCCATTCCCTGAATTTTAAACAAAATTAATGGTGTTATTACCCTAGAAAATATGAGAGTTCTGAGAAACATGATACTAACACAAAAATAACCATACAGTTGAACACACAGAAAAATATAAGAGTTCTAAGACACATGATACTGACCTGAACATACCCAACTTCACGATCGAAGACAGAGTATGCCTTCAGTACATTATAGAGGGACCTTTGGCCAGGCCCATGTCTCTGCTGGAAGAAAACATGTGAAGGGAAGGTCCGAGATATGTCGCGAATTATATCTAATTCTGAAGCTGATGTCTCATATATAACAAGTTGCTAAGGCAGGAAAAAGGTTAGATCAGCAATCTATGTATGTAATAAAAAGAGAAAGGATATCATGCAAAGATGTGCCCAACAGGTTGATAAAAAAAACCACAGACCAAAAAGAAAGAAAACTCTTCTTTTCTGGATAATAACTTTGCCAAACCCATTCTGAACAGAAGAGTTTCCTAACCCCAACTGATCATTTCTAGAACAGGTTTAACTTCTGAACCCAGGTCACATTGGTCATCCAAAGGCAACCAAAGTCGCATCTGTCACTCAAATCCAAAACCAATTCAGCAAACTGATTTTATTATCCCAAAATTGCACATCATAGTTTCTTATGCTTGAAACTCAGCTCAAAACATGATGGTTAGTTATATAACCACAACCATCTCTTAGAGTTTGAAATGATGGACCAACTGGTTTGCTGGCTCACAACTCACCATAACTCAGGCACGTATAAAAGCCTGAGGTTAAAATTTCATAAAACAAGAATGTTACATGGCTTTAGAATAGTGTCATAATTTGTCAATCATTTCAAATATTTCCAAAATAACAATATCCTGGATCATTAACCACCACCGCTATCACTTCTATAGTGGCAGGTCAACCAATTTTGGAACAAAATTGAAGCTAATGTTACAGTTCCACAATGCTGATAGAAAAGCAGACTACCAGGGCGTATTTTACAACCTATAGTTTGATGCCAGGAAAATAAAAAACTTAATCGATAGGATTTCCAAGAGTCCACAAATGAAAAAACATGCCCTTGATTGTAACTTTAAACTGACAGGATTCCAAACACAAGGTTGAGATGTCATAGCCAAGTGTTACAATGAAGATAATACAAACTGAAGTGAAAACTGATAAGAAATTACATTAGAACACAAGACAGGAAGGTAAGTCTAGAAAAGGCCATTGTATTCAGAAACAACAGATCACTAGTTAAAATAGCCAGAACAAATCCATAACAGAAACTAGGAAAAAGAAGTACCTCATAAACCCCCGGGTTCATCAGCAAAAGGTCTCGACTTCCAGATATGAATTGCCAAACAAGGCCCCTTAAACAATCAGGAATTCCTTTCCTTATACGCCTTTTGACCACGTGAGGCTTCCTCCAAAGATAATGCTTCAAATCACTCCCTCCTACTCCAATCATCTTCCTCCATTTTCTAACCCTCCTTGCCTCCCTGAAAGTTTTTGACAACCACAGATTATATCATGGATGGATGAAAAGCCCATCAAGCATGCAAATCACACTCATATCAGCTAATACAACACAAGACAAATATACCAAAAGAAAATCCATACCTCTCATATTCATTGGTCGGCCTACTCTTCACTAAACCTTCTGCAGAATTAGTAGTACTAGTATCCTGCTTTATAAACCCAAATCTGTCTAACGGTCTCGGAGGAGGAATTGGCCCTGGCTCATAATCATCTAGTACTCTCCTCCTCTGCATTACACTATCTCTAACAAGCTCTGGCATGTTATAGAGCAAGCTCTATAACATTATGTTATGTTCCTCAACATGGTGGCCCAAAGGCAAAATCCGGTAACACATGCAAGTAGAATCTGGATGCAAAAAAGGAATTTAACCGATGATATAATCCTAAACACTTGAACCATAATAAGAGATATTCAATTCAAGAAAGTAAATCAATTATTCACAAGTTTAAAACTTTACACAGAGGACAGGACGATCACAAGCTGAAAATGAAAACCCACAAATACTTTGCCAAAAGAACAAATGGGTATACTCCAAAATTGAACGATAAAAAAATTGATAAAATTCAGAAAGCCAAGAAAATTCCTACCTAGGGAGAGGGGGACTAGAATCTGGGATCAAAGATGAATCCGCTTTTAATCTGTCGCCTGATTCTTGATTAAATATGAGAAAAAAAAGCGTAGAATGGTAGGGTCCGTTGGAATTATACAGCCAATCTGAGCTCAATCCGCGTCTCTGATACCCGAAAGTGAACATAATAATGAAAATGACAACAAAGATTTTCTCGAGAAAAATGCATGGCAGCTTAATCGGCAAGGAAACTGAATCCTGAAATGATGTCGTATTGGTCTGATATCTCGTGTAGTTTCCTTTTATCCAGTTCTTTCCTTATTATACTTTATATAGCCTGTTATTTTATTTTTATTTCTAATGGCCGTTTTTTTAATATATTTTTATTTCAAAACCAAAAATTGCATAATTATGATTTTTAATTTTTAATTTTAATTTAATAAAAATTAAAAATTATAAAAATTATAAATTAAAATTTATTTAAAATAAATTTTAAGATTAACAACTAAAAATATAAACTTATTTAATAAAATTATTTTTTTATTTTTCTAATAATTATAATAATATGTTATAAAAACTCAAAGGATCAAACAAATTTTCTATTTAAAGTTACAAAATTTATAAAACTAGAATAAAAAACAATAATCATACCCAACACTATATAAGAATCTAACAAATAACTACATTTTGCAACAAAAATGTGAATTGCATTTTTTTAATCCATCTTCAATAGTATAATTATAAATTTAAATATGTTTTTAAGTAATTCAATTAGTTAAAAACATAAAATTTTAATTTTAAAATTTTATGTTTAAATTTTAAATTATGTAAAAAAGACATAAAATAAAAGGATAGCTATCGTATTTTGTGTACGTCAGTACAGCTCATCATCCCAAAAAAAATTATAAATTTAAATATTGCATGTTTAAGATTCTCATAATGAGTGGGGTTAGGAATTAAGCCATGCAATTACAAATAAACACAAAGTATTTATAAAAAACAAGTATTGAGTTAATTAATTTTATTGAAGTAAAAAAATGAAATTGCTAATTTACCAATTTGTATAAATACAAATGAAGAATAACCAATTTCTCCAACAACACTTCTTACTTACTCTCTCTTTTATAACAGAAGTAACGCTCTTGAAGGGAAATTATATGCAAATTAGTAGTTTGTGGCTGTATTCTATTGCTAACTTAATAGTGCACTTGACAAGATGAGAAAACACTTTACCAGCAGCAACTTAAACCCCACGAAGCTCCTCATAAGATGATGAGTTTTCAATAAAATATCATCTGGTCCCTGTGTTATGAGTAAACACTCGTTTGATCAGATAATCGCAGGTAAACCAAAACTTGATACCTTGGGGAAACATTGATATCACCAATATCTTGAAGCATGCTGAGACTTGGCTCTTTCTCTCAATACAGCTCCAACAATTGCTGCCTCCTCAAGATGTTCAGCCTGATGCAATGCATCCAAAAGAGCAACACAGGTTTTGGTATGAATGTTGAAACCCTTCCTTCGTGTTTCTTCAAAAAGCCTATAAGCATCTACTGCCCCATTTGCATAACTTAACCCTTCAATCATAGCATTATATATAGCAGCATCAGCTAAACCGCCACCAGCCTTAAATCTCTCAAATAGTTCTTGAGCTTCTGTGATGTTACCAGCCTTTGCAAGCCCAGAGATCATGGTGGTGTAGGTGATTGTGTTGGGTTTTAACCCCTTCTTTTGCATCTCTTGCCAAAATACAAAGGCCTTATTGAATTTTCTAACCCTGCACAGACCATTAATGAGAATGCTGTAAGTCACCTGGTTAGGAGTGCATTTCAATTCATTCATTGACTGGAAGCAGACAAGGGCTTCATCAATCTCTTCTGCTTTCACTAAAGCATCAAGCATGCAATTCCATGTGTAAACATTTGGTGTCAAACCTTTCTGCATTAGCTCTTCTAAGATCAGATATGCTTCATCTATTCTTCCAACTTTTCCAAAACCATCAATAAGACTAGTATAGATGATTACATCCAGCTTAACGCCCTTTGATTTTGCTTCTTCAAAAAGCATGTATGCTTCATCAAGCCTGTCAATCTTAGCAAGTCCATCAATGAGAGTACCATAGGTAACAACAGTGGGTTGATGACCCATTGTCTTCATTTCTTCTAGCAGATGATAAGCCTTGTTCACCTTACCTGACTTGCAGAATCCATTGATAACAGCATTGTAAGCACAGGTATCCAGAACACAACCTTGTTCTTTCATTGTATAGAACAAATCATAGGTTTCATGCGCAAAATCAGCTTTCACAAGGCCATGAATCAGGATTGAATAGCTTTGTGCATCTGGAATTAATCCTTGTGCCTTAATTTCCTCAAACAAATCCCTACCCTTCTCAGTTTCTCCGGCTTTGAAAGCACAATCCATGTATACGTTAAGGAGCATTAAATCAGGGGCACAGCCCCTGTGAAGCATTTCTCTATATATCTTATGACCATCCTCCTTCCTGCCACAGCTGAAGAAGTTTCTGATGAGGGATGTACATGCAACAGCATTTGGAACCTTATAAAAGTCCAACATCTTCTCATAAAGCCTGTAGGCATCATCTACTCGACCATGTCTCCCTAAGCCATCAATAATAGAAGAAAATGTGATCTCATCAGGGGAGCAAACTTTATGATCCATATTTTCAAATAAAGAACAAGCCTCGTCAACTCTTTTTGCTTTACATAGTCGATCAACCATGATATTTATGGTCATAACATTGGGATATAAACCAGCTTCTTTCATCACATCCCGAACCCTAAAAGCATCCTCAACATTTCCAGCCTTACATAACATTTCTAAGAGAATATTATACGTTGCAAGATCAGGAGCAGCATCTTTCTTCATCTCCTCAAAGATCCTTAATGCCTCCTTCACTTTGCCCTTTTTCCCAAGGCAAGTAAGAAAACAATTATATGAATCAACACCTGGAATGCAGCCCTTTGCCTTTTGTCTTTCTATTAAACTGTATGCTTCATCAAATTTCCCAGCTGATCCGTAACCCATGATCATGTTATTATAGGCATATGCACAAGGTATATCCCTTTTCTGCTCCATCAGCTCAAATATTTCTGCAGCTTCATGGAGTCTGTTTGCCTTGCAGAGAACACCAATCATGCTTGTGTAAGTCACCTCATCAGGCATTAGCCCATGTGCTTTCATCTCATGAAAGAATCTCCATGCCACATCCACCTTACCCACCTTACCAAAGCAGTCTATACAAATATTGTAAAGAACAATCTCACCATTAACAGAATTGCTCTTCATCTCATCCAAAAGGGAGAAAGCAGCATCAACTTGACCTTCCTTGGCAAAGACACGAATGAATGTTGTAAACAAATGGACACTCAATTCATAACCCAGCTCCTGCATCTGATGAAAAAGATTGAGCATGAGATTGGATTCTTGGAGAACAGAAAGAGCATCAATCAGAGTTGTATAAGCAGAAAAAGTTGGGCGGAATTTAAATTTTCTCATAGTCTGTATGATATCAAAAGCTTCTCTCAGCTTTTGCGACCTGACACAACTATCAACTAGCTCAATACATGTATTATTGGATGGGCCAAATCCTGCAACACTCATTTCTTCAAGAATTTGTTCCAGACAATCAAAGTTCATACTCTGAGCCATCACCATAAGAAGTGAATTGTAAGCTTCTGGACAATGTGCCTGGTCAGTTTTCCTCTCAACCCATCGAAAATAATTTATTGCAAGGTTTACATCCTGAAGCTTCCTCAAGACTCCAATAACCAAGTTTGGTTGAGTTCTTTCTTCAAGCACAGATAAAGCACTCTCAAGGGCTGGACCCCAAGGACCACTCTCCAAAACCTGACACACATGGTCAACTTCTTCTCTTGCACCTTCAATGGTTCTTGGGTCTTCTTGAAAAGTGCCATCCACAAATGGAATGGGTCTCTTAGGCAACTCATGGGGCCCAACAGGCAAGGATGACAATCTCTTTGAAATAGTGAAAATGTGGCAGCATTTTCTGTGAAAATGCAATATTGTTCCTGCAGCACCAAAAAAACAGAAAGTATTTTGATCTTGAAAGACCAGGAATTAATGAAAAAAGACTGTAAAATTGAAGATCAATCAGATAGCCGGTCCTTTCCCTGTTAACATATCAGTTGACCTTGGTTGCAAAACTACATGCCTTAAGGAGTAACTATATCCATGGACAAAATTCCATGTGATCATAACTGGTTTCTTCTAAGAAGACTCTCAACTTAAGCTTATCACAGATAGTTACAAATAAGAAATCCTTCTTTGAATTTCAGCCCATGGGATTACAATTGACAAACATGCTTAAAAGTTAAGACCTTTGATAACACAACTCTTGGAAAATCAAGAAACAGAAATCACATTTTTCACGTAATATTAAATCTGCACAAATCAAGTTTACCTGTGTTTCTAAACATAATCTCCGTATGGATATCTCTGGGTAGCTACTATCAACACCGAGAAATGACAAGCAGAAGCCATGTCATAGTAAAGCACTGCAGAAGGATCACAAAATTTAGTAAATGACTCGTTAAAAATAGCACAGCCATGAGGCACCATGATAAAAAGACAGCAAATTTACTACAAAAGTTTCAACTTTATTACTCTAAACGAAGCAGTGAATGACACAAACTTTGACATAAAAATGCTAATTTGCAAATATTAACATTTTGTTTCCTGCTTCAGCTTAACACCAAAGAAAGAATTTCATTCAGGTATTTTATCAAAAAGCTTCAAAGCAATACCATTTGATCCCTCCGCGTTTGAATTTATCCTAACAAGAAAGTGACAGACACCAATTGCGGCTCTGCAAAGTTACATGATTCACACTTCCAGCCTCTAAAGGAACAAACCTTTTTTATTAAGGAAAAATTTATACAAAAGAACCGTAACAGGAAGAACCCAATAGCTGATAGTAGCGGGCTTACCTGAGCATGGGTTCACCGAGACGGAAAGGAAAGAGAACGGAAGAGAAAAACCAGTACAAGCGCCGCAGGATGGAGGAGTTTCCGGCTTCTTTAGGGGCTCTAATGTAATTTGCAGGTGGCAATGGTGCTTCATTTTTCTTTTCTTTCTTTAATTAAAAACAAATTGCTTTGGCGTATGTATTTGAGCTGATTCGAACGCTGGACCTCAAACTTGGCCTTCATGGCAAAAAAAACATATATATATATATATATATTACCGAAAATGTAATAATTATAAGTGATTTAATTATGATATTATAAATAAATTTTCGTGCAGCTGATGACAGGGTAAAAAGGCACAAATGTAGATGCCAATTTAGTTTTTTTTTTATTTAAAACATTAATTTTATTAATTTTTAAATAAAAATATTAATTTTAAATTATTTTATTTAATTATATCAATATTTATTTTTTAAATTTAAAAATATTAATTTTTTATTTAAAAATATTAATCTTTTTAAAAAAATTTATTTATCAAGTAAATATTATTATTTAATTAACTTTTAGATAAAAATTAAAAATTAAAACTATTATTTAAAAATAATAAAATTAATATTTTTAAATAAAAAATAAAATAGATATTTTGTTTGTACATTTTTTTATGGCATATCATATATCTTTAGATAAAAAAAAAACATTAAAAAAATTATTAAATATCTACCGGCTTGGTGGACACCAACCCCAAACCCTGAAAAAAAATTGTTAAAAGATTTTTCAATAAAAAAAAAAAAAACAGTTAAACGGACTGGAATTGAAGATAGCCTTCCCGGCTTTCAATTCCCAGTTCTTCCGCTTATCAATTTCAGAAGCTGATGGTCCAGGTACAGTGCCCTTGTTATCCTGAAAAGCCATTGATTTTCCTTGTTCTATCATAGCTTTGGCAGGGGTTCTTTCTTTAAAATTTATGGTGTTCTCCGAATTAAGCATTTGGGAACTTAGATTTTAGTGGGTGTTCTTGGATTTCTTTGATAAGTAGTTGTTGTTGTAGAAAGCACATGGCTTGTTCTACTGCCGTTTGCAATAATGGGTTTTTGTTTTCTAGAGGGAACTTGGTAGACGATAGTGGAAAAACCAAGCCTTGGAGGAGATATAGGACTGTTTCTTATAGATCATTATTATGCTTTTCTTCAATGGGGTTAGGGATATGTAATTACTGCGGTATCCAGAATAGGTTTCCCTCTAGTTGTAAGCTTAGGCTACTCAGTAATGGAAGAAATGGGGTTCTTTCCCTGCGGTTTCAAGTTAGTTGTGGAGCAGAACATGGGTTATCTCATAAGAAGGAAATTGGGCCATTGGTGGGTGGAAGTAGTGGAGATAATCAATCCCATTTTAGGAAGACAGAAAATGACAATCTGAGAAAGAGATTTTCATTGAGATTACGGCCCAGGTTGTGGTTGTTAATGACTAGATTGAAGAGGGTTGCAGTTAGGTCAATGTTAAATGATGTTGTGACCTTTGTGCGCAAGAATTTAAGACAAGTGATTCTTTCTGCTGCAATATCTGTTGCATTAGGGCTATGCTATTTGGCACTGAGATTATCTGCAGCGCCATCCCCGAAGCTTGTCCCATATTCTGAGTTGATAACAAGCCTTCAAAATGATTCTGTCACAAAAGTTTTACTGGAAGAGGGTTCTCGTCGAATATACTACAATATGGACTCTAAAAGTTCTGAAAGTTCTCAAATTTCAGAAGAAACATTGTTGGCAAGGGTTGGTGCAGTTGAGAATGTGAGTGATAATGTTATTAGAGATGATGTTCCAAGAACTGGGAAATCAAAGAAATTGGATATTTTTAGGAAATTTGTAAGACCTAGAAGTTTGACTCCTCAGTGGCAGTATTCTACCAGAAAAATGGACCATGATGAGAAATTCCTTCTTACTTTGATGAGAGAAAAGGGAATAACTTATAGCTCTGCACCACAATCAGTTCTGATGTCAATGAGGAGTACTTTAATAACCATAATATCCTTGTGGATTCCTCTAATGCCTTTGATGTGGCTTCTTTATCGTCAACTTTCTGCTGCTAATAGCCCGGCAAGAAAGAGGCGCCACAAAAATGAGTCAGTTTGCTTTGATGATGTCGAGGGTGTTGATGCTGCTAAGATGGAGCTTATGGAGGTACGCATTTCTTCTCTTAGCGACATTAATTTTCTTTTTCATATTTTGCAGATAAAGTTGCAACTGAAAATGTATGTTTATGACTCATAATTTGATTATTTTGTCTTTAATAACTTGAGGCTCATATACAGAGATGCATTTTATTTGTATAAAAAGATAGTCGTGCAGAAAGTCATTTGCTACAGCTGTGGAAATATTCATTATGGTACCACAAATGTCAGATGAAATTGTCTGGTTGGAGTTAGATATGTTCTCCAGGCATGCAGTAACCTTCCACAAACAGGGTGCCATGCCAGTGGCTTGCTGTCTAGCCAGCCGTTTGTATCAATATAATCTTATGGAAGCTTCTTGCGTTGTGATCCGTATTGAAACAAAAATGATGAGACTAATATGCAGATTAGGATTTCTTTAGCTGTGTTTGTCCTTCTAGAATCAATTTATTAGAATTGTCTAGGTGTTTTCGTGGTGATGGTAACTAGTTAACCCTTATTTTTTTTATAATATTTTTCCTTTTTAATGAATCTCTTCTGAGATGTAAGAACTTCCAGATACTCTTCTGATACCATTCTTCTTTATAGGTAGTTTCATGTCTTCAAGGCTCTATAAACTACCAAAAGGTGGGAGCAAAATTGCCTAGAGGAGTGCTGCTTGTGGGTCCCCCAGGGACAGGGAAGACATTATTGGCCCGTGCAGTAGCTGGAGAAGCTGGAGTACCATTTTTCAGTGTTTCTGCAAGTGAATTTGTGGAATTATTTGTTGGAAGAGGGGCAGCTCGAATTAGAGATCTTTTCAATGCAGCAAGGAAGTGTGCACCTTCAATTATATTTATTGATGAACTTGATGCAGTTGGAGGGAAGCGTGGTAGAAGTTTCAATGATGAACGTGATCAGACACTCAACCAGGCAATCTATCTTCCAAATCATTTTTATTTTATTTTTCCTGTGTTTTCACTTGATTATAAAATGCACCAGTATTCTGATTACCCCTAAAAAGGATAAACTTATTTTATCTGAGAGATGATCCTAATAAGGACTTAGTCTAACTTGCATCTGTGTTTGTTTTAATTCATTTTACCATACTTATAATCTAATCCTGGAGTTTTGAATGATTCTATTACATAACTAAATTTAATATTTTAAATGCCTCTGGACTTCCAGTAGATTGAATGAGCTTATAAAACCAATTTTTGTTCTGCAGTTGCTGACAGAAATGGATGGATTTGAATCAGACATGAAAGTGATTGTTGTTGCGGCAACTAATAGGCCAGAAGCATTGGATCCAGCACTCTGTCGACCTGGTCGCTTCTCAAGAAAAGTGCTTGTAGGAGAACCAGACGAAGAGGGAAGGAGGAATATTTTGGCTGTACATTTCAGAGGAGTTCCTCTAGAGGAAGACATACATCTTATCTGTGACCTAGTTGCTTCTCTTACCCCGGGATTTGTAGGTGCTGATCTTGCCAACATTGTGAACGAAGCTGCTTTACTTGCTGCACGAAGAGGTGAGGAACCGCTCCCTGGACAAGGGAACATGGCCACTCTATTTGCTATGTCATCTAGTTTAATTGTCACAAAGTTGGCATTCATTCATGACTAAAACCTATTTCTTTCTCTTGTTGCTCCTCTACCAGTGCAATTTTATGCTCAAATTCTAGAAAATTAAAATTTGCTGACGAGGGACAAAAACTTATTCTCATTCTTATCTTTTCTTATAGGTGGTGAAAAGGTGTCGAGGGAGGATATAATGGAAGCTATTGAAAGAGCTAAATTTGGGATTAATGATAGGCAATCGAGGCCCAACATAATAAGCAAGGAACTTGGGAAACTTATTCCGTGGATGCCATCTTTGACAGGAAGAAATGGTACAAGAAAGGATGATTTACAAGGGCCATTAGGCTATCAAACTTTAAGCTGATGAGTGTAAGTCTACTTTCCCAGGGCCTATACGGTGTTTGTCAGATCAGTTAATCGTTTGGATGTTTCTAAGATTTTGTGGTGACAACATTTTTAATTTCTTGCTTCTGGGAAGGGAATATGGCAATGTGCCCTCTACAGTTCTGGACCTGACTTATTCCCTCTTACAGTTTTGGTCATAATTGTTTTCTCAGCCTTTTGGCTTTCATATTGAGATTGTCAGCAGTGTCCATAACCACAACATCCTTCGTTTTCTTTCCGCAATTTGGTTTAGTATAAATGTTTGAATTGTAGGAACCTAGTATTTGGTTGGTGGTATCTTAGTGTTTGTTACACGAGCAGCCCCTCGTGAATGCACCGGAGAGTTCATAAAATGACACAGTTTACTGCCCTTCTTAGGGGAAAAGGGAAAGAAATGGGATTTTAGTCTCCAATGTATTGGGAGACTTGGAGAATCCAACCTCTGTTGCTTGTAGGATTTAGGATTCAAGTAAAATGGACCACCCTCTATACGGCCTTATGGCTGGAAAGCTTCGTGGTTAATTTTACATTTCTTTATTATGATTTAGACCAACAAGAATTTATCCAAATTAGTATTTATTAACCTAAATTTTTTTCAAAAAAGTTCTTTATGATTCAAGTAAAACATGAACCACCTCCCCTTATGGATATAGGATTCTTTATAATTTTACAGCTCTCTATGATTTAAACCAATCAATCAATTAGTATGCAATATTTCAATTAATTTAATATTAATTTCTTTTCATCGAAAGGAAAAGATTTTGAGTTTCATGGTATAAATAAGGTTGAACCCCTATTTTGGTCCTTAAACTATTGTACGGACCTCCGATTTGGTCCTTGAATTAAAGAAATCTCTAATTTGGTCCTTGAACTATTATACGGACCCTTGAGTTGGTCCCTAAACTATTGTACGGACTCTCAAGTTAGTCCTTAAACTATTGTACGGATGCTTAATTTGATCTTTACTGTTTACCAATTTAACTCCAACTTGATCTTTCTGTTAAATAATAGCTCAGGACCAAATTGGGGTGAAATTGTAAACAATAAGGACCAAATTGAGTGTCCGTACAATAGTTTAAGGACCAATTTAGGCCAAATTATAAACAGTGGGGACCAAATTGGGGTCCGTACAATAGTTTAAGGACCAAATCAAGGATTTCTTTAGTTTAGGAACCAAATCGGGGTCCGTACAATAGTTCAGGGACCAAAATGGGGATTTAACCTATAAATAATAATAATAATAATAACAAAACAAAACAATCCATCAGTTTGGACTTGTCCATCACAAAGTTGGGTAGTCCAAAACGCTGCGGTGTACTGAGGCCCAATACCCAATCCTTTGTAACCCATAGAAATCTTACAACCAACCCTTCGTTGACCTTCAAAATACAATACGTGACTATGAGACTCCTACATAATAATTGCAATGTTAATGTGAAAGATATAAAAGTGAGACAATCAATATTAATAATTTGAGCTTGAACTTTAAAGACTTTGTAAGTTTCAGCCCAAATACTAACATACTGCATAAACAGGGGCAAAGCAAATTCTATAAATACAATTTCAATGAAATAGGCATTTTGCCAGTTTACATTTCATTTTGAATTGGACTCATTTTTGGGGCGTGGTACTCTTGGATTTTAAAACAATGTAATTTTGAACTCCCCATGCGACTCACTAGTTGAGCCGTGCTCCTCCACGAGAAGCAGGTGGAGATCACTTACGTTTGAGTCTCTTTGTTTACTAAATAAATATTAACTTTTAACTATTATTTCTATTGTTTAAAAAAAAAAAAAAGCAATGTAATTTTTAGCAATTATCCCCCCAAATGTATAAAAAATAATAATAATAATTTTAGAATGTCTTTAACTCCAAATTTTTATGAATCAAGACGACAAGCAATTTCTGTGCCAGCAATATTCAAAACAAAAAGCACTCTTGACATGTTTTTTTCATGGCTATGTATTTACATGGTTCACATGTAGTTAGTTGTATAGCATTCTAGTGTCTTTCTTCTTCTTCTCCTCTTTTTACTATTATTATTTTTTTTTATTAATGTTATAAAAGTACGTATCAACTTTAACGTATAAAAGTTAAAGAGTTCAAATATTCAAACATTCGTAAATCATGCCGTTTTATACGTATGAATTATGATTAAAAGTATATTTCAGAATTAAAAAGACCTTTTTATTTATATTATTTTAGGTAGATACTATTTTTGTTTTCAGACTGTAGTAGTATAATTACAAGAAATGTGATTCTTTGAATTGGTATTAATTTCACCAGCAAAACCTGCATAACAACTCCCTAGTCCAAAGCCTGAAGTACCTCAAAACCATCAATGGAAGACATTCCATCTGGCGTTATACTCTTCTGCCTGCTCCTATAAATCCCCCCCATAAGCATCTCACCATCAATCTCAAGCATCTCAACAGCTTCAAATTTTTTCTGTTGCTTTTTTTGTGTTGCTGCAAACAAAATCAGCTACATTAAGAGGATGAGTTCCACCGAGAACGCAAGCTTTCAAGCGGGTCAGGCTGAGGGCAAGACTGAGGTGACCTCATCACTTCTATGTACACACATTAAGATACTGTTGCAAAAAATTCTGCATCCATCATTTTTGTTTATACAAATGATGGGTCTTATAGAAACTTTTGCGTTGAAGCAGTAAAAACTATATTGTTGAGGTAGAAATGTCATTTGCATTTCCATGCTACTTTTCCAGGCAAAGTTATTAATGACTGTTTTTCTGTCTCTTTGTTTCTTCCTTCAGGAGAAGGCCAGCAGCATGATTGATAGGGCGAAAGAAACTACCCAGAATGTTAAGGAATCCTGCCAAGAGGTTCAATATTTTTATTTTTTCATTTTTCCCACCCTTTTATTTGCAATAATAAGTTGTTCTTTTTTCTCTCCCTCTTCTTCTTTTTTAGTTTTTTTTTTGTCTGCAATTTGTAAATTGAATATATATTTTCTTATGATGCAGAGTGGGCAGCGGATGATGGACAAAGCAGGAGGAGCTGCTCAGGCTGCTAAGGATAAAATCAGTGGAAAATGAAACTACTGGCTCTCTTCTCCAACTCTCAGCCGACCAGGCAGCAGTTGGACATTAATCTGTTTTTTGGAATTTCATTGTTAGTTGCTTCTTTGTGTTCTCTCTTTTGATACTGAGCTCAGAAGGAGCTGGTTATGAATGTAGCCTGATGATTCCTTTTTGAGCTAATAAGACCAGCTTTCCATTTCCATCCACTCTTTTTCTAAGCTTTTCAGAAAAACATACTAAAGCAAAACATTGACTTTTTATTTGTATTATCTTTTGTGCAATAAGGATCTTAACAGCGGATGCAGCAAGATCCAAGGATGTGTTTAATTAAAATCTTGGGAAGATGATAAAAGGGAAGTACCTAACAAGCCTAAGCAGACTTTTGTTGGCTATGTTGCAGTATTTGGAATACATCAACAATGCCAGTAGGAAACAATGGATCTATTGCAGCTCTGACAGCGACCTTAGCCACTGAACTCACTTTCACTGGAGGTATAAATAGTGGACCAATGAGTGGAATCAGGGTTAGGGGTTTTGCATGTTTGAGTACCTGCATTAAAGACAGGCAAAATACTTATAATGAACAACTCTTCTTCGACAAAGAAGCAAAATGTGATAATTTCTATGAGCAGTCACAATTTACCATCTCTAGGGGAGCTCCAATGATACTAAGAGGCAATTTTATGCTCCCAACTTGGCGCATCCCATGTATGAAGCCTGGCCTCAGAATTATTCCTGTTGACAAGGAAAAGAAAAGGTTGCTTTATAGTCTTAATCCAATATAACTACTTAACTGATTATGCATCTCATGATGAAAAAGTAAATACAGGAAAAAAAGAGACTATCTTCTCACGTTAGATTAGCCACTCCTAATAGACATTTCTTTAATAATGGAGCATCAATTGAAATGCATTTTTTGATTTACTTGATTTTAGTCCTGAAGTACTACTTCCTTTGTTTCAATATTAGAGTTACCACCTAAAGTCCATTGCCCCAAAATTAGCTGGGAGGATGTGCTCAAGTAATCTGACTCTCAGCTTCCTCCTTGTTCAAAACATAGTACAATCAAATACCTGGGGCATAAAACAGAGAATCAGAGACAAAGGGACTTACCTCCATCTGGAAATTTATTAGTCAACTCAGCTTCAGTCGCTCTCTACATTAGAACAGAAGGAAGTCTTTGTCAGAAAAGGGCTGATAATGATGCTGAAAGCTGACTGATGATATATATATATTTTTTTTTTGGCCAAATGACTGATGATATTTAAATATGGCTATTTTGATTTATTTATTCATTGGGATTCAGGAATCTAGCAAGGACAATAAATAGAACAAATGCTGCTTCTCCACATGTTCAAACAATTGGTCAGCAGTAACAATTGTTAGAGCACTCTATTGATAATTCATGGATAACTAATGAACAAGAAATACCTTTCCATCATAATATCCTCGCAGTAAATAGTTCACCAAACCAAAATCAGCAGCAGAGATATACACAAACCTTTTTACACCTGAAGACATCAACAAAAGTATTGAGGTCAGGAAAAAATGACAGTGGTCACTTAATTCACACCTAAGATATGTAGCAAAAGTGAATAGAAGCACATTAAATACAGCCTAAAATAGGGTGACTCTTAGCAAGGCATGCTTTTACTACTGATATCAAATATTTACACAGGCAATTACTTAACCCTGTTCTGAGGCAGCTTGAATGGCATTTATGTTTGCTGTTCCATTGATCTTGTACATATGTGAGTTTGAGCCAAAACCACCAACGCATGATATCTAGAAATTTCATATCAAACCAAACACACACACCAACATGGAAATGAGAGAAAGAAACGTTAATTAAAGAGAAGAGTAAGATATCCTTATCACTCTCAGCATATTACTATCTAAAGGCAGAAAGTTGTAAAAGCTTTTAGGGATAGAACTATTGATTTTTAATTAACTCCCTAGTATTCTCAACATATTACCAACATCTTAAAAATTAAAAACCATGTTATTCAGCAATTTGCCCATATTCTGCTCTCTGAAAATGATAACTGAACTATTATTCAACAGGTTGGTGATTAGCCAAACCACTAAACTAATAAGAGAATGATAATTGTTAATATCAAAAGTTTTATTTTAAACTTTATCCCACATCTTTAAATGACCAGGCATTTATGCCAAAATAAGCCAAATTACAGAACTGGTTAACTGCATACCACAGAAGTAACTTCACTTAGTGCAGGCTTCAATGAATCAGGTGAAAGCAAATCCCCTGTAGTTAAAGGGAAAAAAATGAACAGGGCAAATATCACACTTTAAATTTCAAAGTTAGACAGTTTAAATATGCATCACAAACTACCCACCTACCTTGATGCCAGACAACATCATTCGCCCAAGAATCTTGCAGAGAGGACCTCCCAGACCTTAAAAATCACAAACACGCAAATAGTTCAGATATAAATAATATGCACTTTCCAACTGCCACAGTCTCATTGATAGTTGATTCATGTAGTCCTATGCGTTCCAACAATAACCATAAAAGAATAGAAGCACACACGTCCGTACACACAAAACAATTCCAACAGTCAAAAATTAGATGTCTTTGAGCTCCTTGCACAATCATGTATACTAATATGATAAAATTATTAAGCCTGTTTGATCTTAAACTCTTTAGAACTTAACTTTCAAAAAGTGTAAAATTTTCTTAGTACTTAAAAGAACCCTCTTTTTAAGTAAAATTATTTGAAACACAATACCTGCTAAGACTAGATACAGCTAAACCTTGCTGTACAGCTTCTCTACATATATGTGAGCCAACAAAACCATTGCCGCCTAGAACAAGTAGCTGATTCAAAGGCAACTAATGGTCAGCAAGAGAAGAATAACTCAATTCAAGAAAACAAAGCATCCTAAAAAGCAATTACCTTCTCTGTTGGAGGTGGTTTGGCATCTAATGCTTCAGTGCTGTTAGATCTTAATGTTTGATCAACCACGTTAGAGTCTGTTGACAACAGTCTCCCATTGTTGGATATAGCCATTATACTGTCTCCACAACAATGGGGAAAATTGTACACATCAGCAAATATATCCTAAAATGCATAAAAGGGATAAAATTTGAAATATAAGGAAATAAATCAACAACTCTCCCCAAAAAAAAAAAAAAGAAGAAGGATTTTGGACCGTAGCAGCACATTTTGCTGCTTTGATTGTAATTAGCAGTATTTTTTTTTTTTTGGAAGATAACTAGCAGTATTATTGGATAAATAAGATTCACATTTTATCCCACAAACAAAAAAAAATCAACAACTCTCCACACATAATCTCAAGAGTCATACCATAATCTCTGAAGGCAAAATTTCAGTCTTTAGTACATTAACACATAAGACAAGTAATCATCTAACAAAAACAACCAAGATATTACCCCCATTTTGACGAACAAAATGATAGGTAACCAAAAAAATTCTAAATTTGCCAATAACCCATTTCAGGTGTCAGCCATAAATCAACTTCAATGGAAATCTCAGACAAGTGTCATCTAAGTCATACGGCATGTCGGAAAACACTTACTAAATTCTAGGAAGCGAGGATTGTGACTGGAGCAATCGAGAAATGATCATCTTCTTCCGCTCCCACTTCGTTCCTCCGGTTTTTGAAGGAATAGGGAATTTAGGATTGCTTGAGAGTTGAGACGTTGGACTAAAGAAAAAGTTACAACTTTGTCAGCATTAATAAGATCAGAGAGAAACAACTTATGGCGCGCAATACTGACAAGTGGTCAGCTGTCAGTCTTTGATTTTAGGGGTACACAGAACAAACTGTAAATCCGTAAAGCGATTTAGAAAAGAAGAAAAATGTAGTAATCAACCCTAAAGCTTTTTCGTAAATTCAATTGGGTCATTAGGGTGTTTTTGAGTTCAACCTGCAAGGCTGCAAGCTTTAATTATTTACATAATCTTCCATCAAAATAGGGTAAAATGACAATATTTTTTATTTATTTATTTTTGGTTAAGAAGAGTTGTTAATAGGTGGGGAAATCCAGAAAAAACTAATTTAGCTCTTGATTTATTTTGTTTTCTCTATTTAGCCCTCTAAGTTGTTCTTGAGTCATTTAAAGCAAAATATATTAAGGCCATAGTCAATTGTAAATATCATGCTACTATCATCTCTCCATTACTTAAAGGCTTAAAGCCTTGCCTAATAGCAACAATTAGCAAAAAAACCCACAATTATATCTTGTAAGATCCACATAAAAGATCATAATTTTTTTGAGTATCACTACATCAACTAATAGTTGGGTTAAGGAATATGATTGACTCGACCTTCTAACTATTGTTGTATTGCATGATGCCACAGGACTTTTCTTGTTAATGTTGCCTGTTGGCCTAAACTACCCGTAGCCTAAAATAAGTTTGCTGGCTGGATTGAGAAAACAAATTAAGTTTGAGGCCTAACTAAAAGTTTTCTCTTTAAAAATTAATCAATTTAAGAAAAAAAAATCTAAAAGAAATACAAGATCCCCACGTAATAACTTTTTTTTTTTTTCAGCAAAGAACAGAGATTCTCTGAGAAAATAAAACGCAATCTTTTTCAGTAGAATGCCGAGCCGCTCCTTCCCTTTTCAATGTTGTGACGAGCGAAGTGATATTCAGCTTCTAACTTTTCCTCTAGTATAGATAAACAATCAAACCCAGACCAGGGAGATCATTTCTGGTTCACCCTTCTCCAAAGCTGCCGCGAATCGGCTCTAAAGTTTTCATCTTTGAGGTAACACTACTTTGTCGTGCTGTTTATAGCAAGACCTGTTGGATCGGTTTTAGCTTTTCCTTCCCTTTATTCTTCCTTTATTGGAATGTTAATGGGTTTAAATTGTAACTGCATGTTCAAAATTATTGCTTTGAATTGATATAATTTTTGGCTATGCCAGTTTGAGACTTTTTGATTTTGTTTTCCACTGAATTTGGGGTCCTTGTTTAATTTCTTAGCTTTTTTTTTGCCAATCAGTGTGGTTTTAGTTTATAATGGGAGATACCCATTTGGAGTCCTCCATTTAATTTCTTAGCTTTTGTGGCCAATCAAGGTGGTTTTAACTTTAAATTGTATATTTCAATAGGGAATTGGCATCCAAATCCTAATTTATCCAGCTGTTTTCTGAAACATTTTACAGCGGTATTGCTTTGTGTGAGATACTTGCTTGAATTTTATGCTGAGCAGATGCAAACTTAATGGTCCTTTTGATTTTCAACAGTGTGCTGTAAACTGTAGATATAGAGAATTATGGGTGGCATGCAGCAGGCTAAGAGAAGAGTGGCTTTTGTGCTGATTGATGGATTGGGGGATGTATCAATTCCAAGGTTTGGGTATAAGACCCCTTTGCAAGCAGCTAATTTGCCAAATTTGGATGCCATAGCATCAGCTGGAGTAAATGGTCTAATGGACCCTGTGGAAGTAGGTTTGGGTTGTGGAAGTGACACAGCTCATCTTTCTCTTTTGGGATATGACCCAAGAGTATATTATCGGGGTCGTGGGGCTTTTGAGTCCATGGGTGCCGGGCTGGCAATGTCACCTGGGGATATTGCATTCAAGGTGTTTTATCTTTTTTAGCTACTTTCTCCTCTCCTTGTTAGATTAATGTCCTTTTATATCTGTTCAATTCATTCATTACCCACTTTCATAAAGTCCAGGGGTCAGTTTCCATTTGAACAATAAATAAAGGTTAAAGTCTAGTAGTCAGTTTCCACCATTGTGTGTTTCTGTATGCCGTACATACTGAATATACTAGTTCTGGTTTTTAATGGAGTATTGAATTCCCCTGAAAATTATTATACTAAGAATTCTTCTCCATAAGAAGTTTGGATCAATCTTCTTCTGATTGTAATTGAACAGATGATTTTCTTTCTGAATTTCCTATTTTCTGTTATCTACTAATTTAAACTTTATAATTCGTTTCTTTGTGGAACTCCTGATCATATTTTATGTGTCATTACTCGTTATGCCATCTTAATCTCCAGTCAAATTTTGCAACCTTGGATGAGAAAACTGGAATAGTTACAAGCAGAAGGGCTGACAGGCATTTTGAAGAGGAAGGACCGATCCTTTGTGCAGCACTAGATGGAATGAGGCTCCCATCTTTTCCTGAGTACGAAGTTAGAGTCAGGTATATATGTTTTTTTGTTGTTATTGCTTTGATTATCAACTGGTAGATGCATGTGAGTGCAATTCATTTGGTTGGATTTGGTGTCATTTGCATGGTTACTTCATTCCTTATTGACTTTCTTGTGATGTTCGAACATAAAAATAAAAACTTTGATTGGCCAACTTATTTGTCAGCATATTATCCAGAAGTCAGAAAGCATATTAGAAGAACAAGATTGTAGAGGTTGGGATAGATACTTGCATGAAGCCCCTTTTCCAGTTTTCCCTAATAATAGAAAGTTTTATGACTTATAGGATTGTATAATTCAAAGAGCTTATTTCTTCTTCTGAGGCTTCATGCTTAAAAGTAAAATGTGAAAACCATTAATTCTGAACTATATCTTACAGGTATGCTACAGAGCACAGATGTGGAGTGGTGGTAAAAGGGCCAAGATTGAGTGGAAATATATCAGGAACTGACCCATTGAAAGACAATCGCTTGCTTCTTGAAGCTAAGGCTTTAGATGACACTGATGAAGCAAGGCACACTGCTGCAGTTGTTAATGAGTTATCCAGGGAGATGTCACGAATTCTGACTTCCCACCAGTTGAATGCAAAAAGGCTGGCAGATGGGAAAAACATTGCAAATGTTGTCCTTCTACGAGGTTGTGGTATTCGAATAGAGGTGTGTTTTTTAATTATTTCTTGGATTTGTTATCAATTGACTTCATGTAATAGGGAATGCATTTTGCCATTAACGGAACAGGTTGTTATGCCTTTTGTTGGTTTTTTCCTTTCTAGCTGAGGTTAAGCTAGTTTTTGACAGGTGGAGCTTAAGTTGCTCACTTTGATCATTTGACTTTTATGTATGTGCTAATGAGATTAGGACCCTTGATTACTGATTTTTAGCAGTTACCTCATTCTTTTGTTCTAGTAATTAATATCCAAGAGTTCTAATCCTTAACCAGGGTGACTTGCTTCACATCCTGTTAATCAAACTGGATTTAATGTTAGAGGATTCTGAAGGAACTTTCACCCTGTACCTAAAATTATCCGTGGTTTTTATTGTGTGCTGCAGGTTCCTTCTTTTGAAAACAAACATCGTTTATGGCCTTGCATGGTGGCTCCTACAAAAATTATAGCTGGACTTGGTCTATCGCTTGGTATCGATATCCTAGAAGCTCCAGGAGCAACAGGAGACTATCGAACACTATTAACTTCCAAAGCAACTGCCATAGCTAATGCACTCTCAGCCCCTTTGCAGTCTTGCCCTAGTGTCTTTGTACCTGGAGAGGATGAGCACAAACCTGGCCGGTCAGATGGTTATGATTTTGGGTTTCTTCACATTAAGGTAATGACCTTCTTTTTATCTAACATATCTATGCCTTTTAGTGTTTCCTACTTGAAAAATTCAGATGTTTTTAGTCTCTTTAAAGGTTGATTTTTATTTCCTTGATAGAGCTTTCTTCTATTGGTCTCAAGCCTGCCATAAGATAAACTTGCTTGGGAGATAATTGATGATTGTACAGGAATTCATTTTCATTTGTATTCAAAAACTGCAGGCAATAGATGATGCAGGTCATGACAAGGCAACTGTTTTCAAAGTAAAAGCAATGGAAGCTGTGGATCAAGCTATAAGACAGCTGGCTAAGCTCCTCTGGGAGGCAGAATCAACAGGGATTTTCCAATATTTTCTTTGCGTCACTGGTGATCACTCCACACCTGTTGAATATGGAGACCACAGCTTTGAACCTGTTCCATTTACAATCTGCCGGTTGAAAGATTTTATTGGTGCAATTGGTGGTGAGTCCATTCTTGCTGAAACTTCCCTTGATTCTTTTCCTCTCCCTACCATTCAAGCAGGTGAAGACCTGCATGAAGACATTGGGTCCGAACATGAGGGGAAATGCAAACAAATTCAAGCTTTTTCTGGAGACTCAGTTTCCGAGTTTAATGAGATTGCAGCGGCAAGGGGATGTCTTGGACGCTTTCCAGGCGGCGAGATGATGGGAATTATAACAAGATTTCTGAAAGTCAGTGCATAAATTCCTTGTTAAGTATGATAATTGCTCGGGAAATCTTGAATAAGCATTGCTCGATCACAGAACCAACTAAGATGGTATGGTTTACAGTGATACAGTTTTGAATGTTTCTTAGTTCTTACTAACATCAAGGAAGATTTCTGTATTCTGTTTTGTACAAACAATGACGCATGTTTCATTCACATGTGGAGGCTAATCCTCCGCTGTTTGGTTTTGAACTGGATTTTCTGTTGCAGAGAAATCAAAATTTATCTTTCCAATTCCTGATATTTTGACTGGAAATGCTATATAGTTTATTTAATTTTGACGATTGTAAAGGAGGCATCATATTGCAAGAAAAACTATATATATATATATATATTTTATATAAGTTGTAAAATGACAGAATCACCCTTATCTAAGCTGCTTAAACTACCAAAACAATGTTATTGATAAAGTTTCGATACTATATGATTTAGTGGTCATTTCTTTTGTAGGAACATGCCTGAATATGATTTAGTGGTCATTTCTTTTGTAAGAACATGCCTGAATATGATTTAGTGGTTATTTCTTTTGTAAGAACATGCCTGAATGTGAAAATCCTGAAATTTATTCGCAGGCATTACTATCCTTATTCCCAACAATGCACTTAAAGTCAAAAAAAAAAAAATGTTATTGATAAAGGGTTGTTGTGGCATTAAAGTAAATTAGTTTTTTTTTTTTATTCAATAAACCATAAGTAGTTTTAAAAGGTAGTGGAACTAATGGACATGAGTCCGACCAGACTTCCAAAAACTAGTTATCGAATGCAAAACTCTTCTTCATTGTTGAGATCTCTCTTAGTTTAAGTTTCATTTGACAACATTTTTAGGTGTCTTAGTTTTTGTTTTTATATTTTTTTATTACTTTAAAAATATATAAAATATTAATTAAAATAAATATTATATATATTATATATTTTTGAAATGTTAAGGGATTAAAAAAATCTATACTGTGAAACTAAGATTTTGTTTGGTAATGTTTTTTGGTCCTTTATAATTTGATTTTTATGTCTTTTTATTATTTTAAAAATATATAAAGTGTTAATTATAATAAATATTAAATATATTTTATATATTTTTAGAATGTTTAAGGCTAAAAAACCTGCCGTTACAGTTACAAACAAGTAATGTTAAACAAAGCCTAAAACTTAACATTTTGTGTTTTGCTTTCTGGTGCTCTCTAAGACAAAATACTGTTTTGTAAACATATCTTCCTCTCTATAAATTCATAAATTTAATTTTAAAAATATGTTTAAATTCAATATGTAAGCAAAAAGTATAAAAATATCAAAAAATTATTATTATATTTTTTTTATCTTAATTATACAATGAAAGGCGATTCTTCCACTCCTTATTTTACTTCACATGTATATCATATGATTCGAACTTAAAACTCTTTATTTCTAATAAAAAAAATGATTATTAAATTACTTAATTGTTGGCTGAGAAATTATTTAAATACTCATATTATGTTGATTTATTAATTATATTTAATTAATTTCATGAATATTCTTACATTTTTTTAAGGCCAACTTGTAAATATTTAACCTGTTAAAACTTATAATTTGCATACTATTTTTTTATCTCGGTTTACACAATAATTTAAAACCTTTTGCCTTTTCAACTTATATACACTTAAATCGCTTTAAAAATTGTTTTACTAATAAAATAATAGTTTTTTTTTTTTTTCTGGTACATAGTAAAATAATAGTTATTTTGTAATACTACAAATTTTATAATTAGTGACCCTGTATCAAGCCCACCTCTGGTATGATTGGGTTTACCAATTTCTTTAAAAAATAGAAGTATGAGATTTTTGGAACCGGACTTCAACATCTAATCGTTTATCCTTAAACCCTAATGTTTGTATAAAAATATATATATAAGATTTCTGAAGCCAATGCCAAACCTATATAAGCAGCGAGGGTTTAAGAATAGCTTTTTGTAGAAAATAAAGCCAAGTAGTTGCAGTGTAGCCATGAGCGAAACAATTTCTTCAGCGGAAGCGGTGGCCGGAAGTCAGGACATCTTGATCCAAATCTTCCTCCGGCTTCCGGCAAAATCCCTCCTCAAATTCAGATGTGTCTGCAAGGACTGGCTCTCTCTAATCTCTCTCATCCCCACCCGCCAATTCGCCCTCACCCACACCCTCCTCAACCCTCAAACGCCGGTCGCCCTCTTGCTTGACGACTACATCCTCCCTCTAAACCCCCAACGAGACGACCCTTTACCTATCTTCGAAGCCCCTTTTGCTGATTTACTCGATGTCCCTTGGTTTAAGGCTGCCCAATCCTGCAACGGCTTGCTCCTCGTCTCCCCTGATTTCAACGTCGAGACCTCCGGTACAGATACGGAGTTAGGGATCGGTGATTTCATATGCAATCCCACCACCAAAGAGTGTAAAAAGATCCCTCCTCGTCCCAAACAAATCGAACATTATCCCGTTGAAGGTTACGCTTTGGCTTTCGATCCAGTAAAATCCCTTCACTATAAGGTCATCTGTGTTCGTTGTGTCGGAATTGATCGCCATCGCCACTACCTTGAAAAAGAGATTGATATATATTCGTCGGAGACTGATTCTTGGAGAATTTGTAATATCGCGTTCATTGATGAAAACAATATGGAATATCGCCAACCAGTCTTCTGCAATGGAACAATTTATTGGTATGCACTGTCTTCCGAAGCCCTTTACTTTGACGTTGAAGAAGAGAGTCTGAAGTCATACCCTATGCCTTCGTATTTTGAGAACGTCTCCAGACTATCTGATCTTAACTCAATGATTAAGTATTTCAATGAGTCTAGGGGTCATCTGCATCTTATTACGCAAAAAGAATTGAAATTTTTGGTTTTTGAGTTGGCTGCGGACCACTCTGAATGGTCAGTGAAGTATAACTTCAGGCTTGAAGCTGCGGGTGCAATGTTTCCTGAGGTGATCGACAGTTTGGAGAAGCATTTAGTGAATGTGTTGACTGTAATCCGGGAGGAAAAGGAAGAAGATTCAGTGGTTGTGTTTTCTGTTGGTCATGTAATATTTTCCTACAATTTGGAGACCAAGGCATTTAAGAAGCTTTCTGATTGTGATTGTGGGTCAGACTTTTTGAGGGATTGTCTTCTACCATGGGATTATGCCTGTCAATACTTTGCAAGCTTCGCTTGTGTTTGAGATTAAGACTTCTCCAGGTAAGTGATGGAAATATGTTTTGATTTAACTTTGGTTGGAACTTACTTTTATCATTATGAAGTTCTTTTTACTTTTCATTTACAACTATACTTGTTTAACATAGTACTAAATCTTGGAACCAATGTTATATCTTTGGCTTCTTTCTGATAATGGACCTGTATCTAGAGCTGAGATCTTTGAGTCCAATAAGGAAAATGTTTGTAAGTAATACTATTAAGGGGAGATACATGATGAACATACGAAGAAGCATATTAAGAATATGGGAATAAATCATGTTATCAAATCTCCTAGAAGATTCACAAATCACAACTCTGCTAACTTCTTATTTAACAATTAACATAGATGCTAAAAAACTATGAACTAATGTGATGTTACTTTTGGGGAGTTAATGATAATGGACCTGTGTTGGAATCCAATGAGGAATGCATGGAGGTAATTTTGGAAAAGATGTTTATTTTCATCAAGTTTTAGACGAAATTACCTAAATTTCATTGGTCATTGGCATCAAAAGCTGCTTGTGAATGTGGTTCAACTGAAGTTTTAGCCCAGAGGGGATGGCAAAATATGGATTTTGATATATGGCAATTAGCTATGATGCAGCAAGAGCAAGGCACTTTATAGGTGATAGCACGGTTTTAGTTTTGGTTTAGCATTTTGTGTTCTACATGCTGTTATTCGAGTTCTTTCTCTTCTTAGAAACAATATCTTTATTATTATTATAGATTCTATGCTCTGTTTTGTCTTCTCTCTTTGCCCTACAACTGAGTTGAGTTGTTTATATTGTTCAACAAGTTGGACTTTTTTTTGTTTTCTAGAAATTAAGAAATCTGAAATCCATTGAAAAGTGAAACTAATAGTTTATGCATGTCATCATGTTTGGGTTCCATCATTTGCACCTCTTTTTCACAACATTATACATGTATATGCACTGTGTATACGATGACACTAAAATTTTCTTTTGCAACTCTGTGTAAACGAGAAATTGAAATATAGTTTTTGGTGGATAATGCCTGTTTCCCAATGTTAACATGATTTTGCAGACTCTGTTTTAGCGATTTTGTAAAATGATTTGTATAAGGATTGCAAACTGAAAGAGTTTCTACTATTGCTTCTCTGTGCCTCAGGTTTTGAGTTTAATGAAGGAGAAGAGTGAAGAAGGAACCAAGCAGGTTGAATTTGGCAACATCTATATGTTGTTCTGTGCAGCTATATATTTCTTCCCTATTTTGTTAACCTTTTAGCTGTCTTTTAGAAAATTTTCGAAGTTTCAGCAAATATTTGTTGCTGTTAAATTAATAAATCTTGCTATGTGATATTTATATTAGCCCCCATTTTCTTTATAACGGAGGGGAATGTGGAGGATAATTCCTTTTTTTTAATTCTAAATAAAGTGGAATTGTTTAACGTCTCCAAGCAGCTTGAGGAATTACTGAAAGGATTTGTCACGTTAAATTTAAGACTTTTCATGCTCTCTCCTCATTTTGTTTTGAAATACAAAATATTATAATTATATTATTACGTAATATTATAATTATAATATTAAAAAATAATTATTAATTTATATTATAAAAAATAAGTAAAAATATTTTAAAATTATATTATTTTAATAAAATTATATTAAAAAAATTAAAATATCTTAATTATTTTTAAAATAAAAAAAAAGATATTTTAAATTTTTTTATAATATTTTATTAAAATGACTTTAAAGCATATTTTTACTTAATTTTTTGCAAGTTTAACCAGTAAATATTAATCTATTACAATATTATTATTTTATTAATATACTTTTTTAATAATTTTTTCAAAATTAAGGATTTGATTTTTTTTGTACATATGAATGACCTGATTCAAGATTTGAATTTGAAATATTCAATTTAAAATCTTAAATTTTTAACTATTGAATCACCTTATTAAAGATAAAATTAAGAATTTGATATATAAGGTAAATAAAGACATTTTGTTACGAGATTAACAATTAAAGTCAAAAGGATAATAATATAGTAAAAATAAAAAAAAATATTTGTTACTTTTTAAAATATTAAAAAAATAATTAATTTCAAATAAAGAGGATTGCTAAGTGTTGTCCCCTTTTTTGGCCCTCTCCAACACTCTCTCCTGTAAAATGGTCACGTTGATTTTGCTAGCTTGGAACTTAGAATTGCAATTTAAGGACTGTTACGTGACCGTTTTACATGGGAGAGTGTTGGAGGAGGGTACAGGGGAAAGACAACTGCACATAACAGTCCTCTTAAATAAAATATGAATAATAAAATAATTATTATTTTGATAATATGAGTAATAAAATAATTATTATTTTGATAAAAAGAAAATAATAGTTTGATGTTGGATCTTATTTGTATTATTCTTTCTCGGTATTCATAATTTATAAGAGCAGCAATAGAACACTGATTATGGTCAACTTGGTTTTTTTTATTTTATTATAAGTTGTATAACAAAAAATAATTTTTTTATTTTTTAACTCACATCACATGCATATCATGCACTTTAAATTTAAGAATTTTTATTTTTAAAAAAATTATTGAACTCTTTAAATCATTAACACTTAATTTCATATTTAAAATTATTTTAAACTGGCTAAGAATTGAGGGAGATGAAACCCAAGTTATTAACCTGGTGCTGCACCAATCAAAGAGTTGAGATTTATTTTTATTTTCCTTTATTTTTTTTTTTAATTTGAGAGTTTGTTTCTTTTCTTTCTTTTTTTTTAAGAATTTGAGTCACTAGTGAACCTGTTTGCCTTAGCCGAACTCATGGGCTGGGCCTCAAGTGTAGGGCCTATATATTAAACGGAATCCGCTCCAATTTGGATTTCTTGATTCTGCAATTCAGGAGCCAAAACCGCCCTCTCTGCTTCCCCCCGCCCGGAAAAGATTCATCCACTCTCTTTCTCGGCCCTGAAAAATCCTCTGTTTCCGTCGATTTATCTGGGGAAATCCCCTCCTTATCCACCTTTCAGTTCGGCCTCAGAAGCATCCACCAGCTCTCCGCGCTTTGCCTCATTTCCGGTGAACTACGACGGTTCCCTTTCATTGCTTAAGTTTCAGATTCGATCTCCGGCAGCCTTCCCACTTCTGGCTCCTCTCCAAGCTTCGGATTCAGATCCTTCCAGCATCTCCTGCAACTTCTGATTTGCCATTCTTTCTTAGGTAAAAACTCTTCGAACTTGGATTTGCATACTTACGTCTCTTTCTTTGATTTTTCTTGTCAAACATGGAATTTCTCGATTTCCTTCAGTTTTAATATCAAGATTTGAAGTGTTTAGGGGACTGTGTGGGTTGGACGGGCCAACCGGATCTGACACTGCTGGGCCGCCCCCTTTCCCCTTGATGGCGGAGATACAATGCTGAAATTGATCCTGTTTGTTAGTTTGTGATGTTGACTGTGTATTCTTGATGATTTGTTTTATTTTTGGCAAAATTAGAGAAATAATGTTAGCCTACATTCATAATTTTGACCTTCGGTTTATGATCTTGAATGTCTGGATTGAAAACTAATGTAAAATCTAGGAATGAGTTTTTTTCCTGTTAATTTTCAGTTTGCTTGGATGTTCTAGTTTACTGTAAAAATATATGGCTGTGTTTCTTTTCGTTTGTTCTCTTGTTGTTTCTCTATTTTCTTTTCGGTTAATTTTTTTTTTTTTTTCATGTTTTCCTCCTGTCTGGAGTTGTTTAATATGTTTTCTACCTTTGCTTTTGCAATCTTCTCCTTCTCTTGACGGGGTCCCAGGGAGATCTTTAAGAAGCCATGGGAAAGTATTTTCCAAACGATTTACTAAGATGTATGCTTCAGTACTTACCCATCAAGAGTCTCCTTCGATTCAAGAGCGTCTCAAAATCATGGTGTTCTTGGATGGATGATCCCTATCTTCTGAGATCTCGTTTTCCAGAATCGAACTTCCTAGGAATACAGAAGCCTCCTGTTGGTCTGAATCAGATGTTGATGATAAGCCTAGACTCATCTGAAGATCATTGCAGTGTGGAGAAGCTGGATCTACCTTTGGAAAATCACCCAATTACCCATTTAGGCGGTTCATGTAATGGCTTGAGTTGTTTGGTGGACCGCGCTGACAATATCATCGTGTGTAACATACCCACCAAAGATTACCATATTGTGAAGTTACCGAGACAGCCTGATCAAAGAGAATACAAACTGATGATCTCATTATATGGATTTGGGTGTGACTCCATCAATGATGATTACAAAGTGTTAAGGATCAATTCTTTATATTGCGAATGTGAATCCCACCATGAAACTCAAGTATATAGCTTGAGAAAGGATTCCTGGGATGGTCCTCGAGGTCAAGGCAGCTACCCTTCTTTCCTTCAAGGATTACGTATTGATGCACGCGTACCTATTGGCTCTAAAGGGTCTAATGGGGTGCTTGCCTATGGTGCTCTCCACTGGATTGCATTTGTTACATACACTCAACCCTTTGCAATTGCTTTCAATCTCTCCACGGAGGAATTTAGCAAGATTGTGTTGCCGAATAATCTAAGTTACGGCCCTGTTTTGGGTCTACTAAGAGGCTGCTTAACGGTGACATGTCATAATGAACTCAGATGTTCTGATTTTGACTTATGGGTGATGAAGGATTATATGGTGAGTGAATCTTGGTCGAAACTGTTTCATATCTCCTTTGATGGATGGATTGAGCATCTGAGTCCTCTAGCTTATTCAAGGAGTGGGAAAAAAATTCTGTTTGAATCTTCTACTAAGCATCATCTTTGGTACAATATAGGAAATAAACAAATGGAAATTCTGGGTAGTTGCAATGGAGTTTTTGTGGCAGTTCCATATTTTGAGAGTCTCATCTCTGTTAGAGCTTACAAAGGGACAGGGATAATTAGGCAAGAGTAGAAGAGGTGTGATAAATAATATGAATGAATATCAATTTCTGTGTTCTTTTCTCCTTTTTCTGGTAAATTTTTAGCTATGGATTCTTTGCTATACTGCATGCTATAATGCTATAATTGCACCACCACTGCATTATATTTCTAATTTTTTGTTCGGTGTAGTCATAGCCGCATATTGATATTGAGAAATACAAATGAAGGGTTCAACTAATAAGAACCTGGCGTTATAAATTAAAAGTTTCAAGTTTAAATTTGAATATGCATGAAGATCCTAACTAGTAACTCATCATGTTGTCCCAATAAGATAAAGCTTAGCAAACATGAAAAATCCTACTCCTGCAAGATCTGGAAATCCTACTTCCTTCATATGAAATCCTACTTCCTCATATCAGAAAATGAAATCCTACATCCTTGCGAATTTGGACTTAATTAAATCCTTGGACCCGTCTATATAACAATATAATAACCCTTAGTGAATTCAAAGAGACAAAGATGATCAAAGAAACAATGGCGAAGGATGATTTTCCAAACGATTTACTCACAGAGATTCTCTTCACCTTATCCACCAAGAGTCTTCTTCGATTCAAGAGCGTCTCAAGATCATGGTGTTCTTTGATTGATGATCCCTTTTTTGTCAAATCTCATCATCAAATATCCACTGAAATCAACAGAAACTCCAAATTCATTGTGCAAGGAACGGATGGTCAGATGTTCACAATAAGCTTATTAGATTCATGCAACAAAGTAGTGAACAATGTCGATCCACCTTTATGCCTCGAGAACATGATTTTAAGGGGTTCATGCAATGGCTTGGTTTGTTTAACTGATCCAGAGAATGCCATTCTGTGCAACATATCAACCAAAGATTACTGTAAGGTGAGATTTCCACCGTTTCAAGAAACCACCATTTCACTTAGCTATGGATTCGGGTATGACTCTATCAGTGATGATTACAAAGTAGTAAGAGTAGACTACTTCTATTCCAAACAAATTGAGAGTTATACTAGTGACATTCAAGTTTATAGCTTGAGAAAGGATTCATGGAATAGCCCTCAAAGCAACACCCTTTCTTGTATTCAAAGTTCATACAGATTCAAGGAAGATGATGCAGTCCTAGTTTCTGGTGCTCTCCATTGGGTGGCATCTAGGAATTCATTGAATTACCATGATGAACCATATTTTGCTATTGCTCTTAATCTCGCTGAGGAAACGTCTAGCAAGATTGTGCTTCCAAAGACAAACACGGAACCTGTCATGGGAGTAATTGAAGGCTGCTTCGCCGTGACATGTTATGATTATACTACTGATCTGCCTGATGCAGATATTTGGGTGATGAAGGATTATATGGTTGAGGAGTCTTGGACTAAACTCCTTCGTATGTCGTTTATGGTTGGATTGGGTAAACCTTTGAGGCCTATAACTTATTCAAGGAGTGGTAACAAAATTCTGTTGCATAGTCCTTGTTGCGTTCATCTGTACCATCCAGGGAATGGAGAGGAATATATTACCGATTGCAGTTATTATGGGTTAGCAATAGGACCATATGCAGAAAGCCTCGTCTCAATAAGTGCTTATAAAGGCTGCTGGCAGAAGACTGGGAGGATCAAGCAAAAGGAAAACAGCGCTGAAATGTGATTCTTTAAAATTTTTAGTGCAATTAGTCATGCTGTGTTTTATATTACTAAAGTTTGTTTTCTGTTGTGGCAGCTCTTGTTGCTAGTGGGTGAACAACAACATGTTCATGTTCTAGACCTTCTTTGCCTTCATTTTAATTTTTGTAGAAGTACTGATTGAGTAAACTTTTACACAAGTGTTAGAATTATGACTTTGTAAAAAGTAATTATAGAACTTTTTTTTCTTTTTTCTTTTTTCTTTTTTTTGTATTTTGAGGCTCTTATCTCTTGACTTATCTTAACTATTATTTAACTCAAATCAAATTTCATAATTTCATGAGAAAAAAAATTATCATTAACCATAAACTTTTTTAAAATTTAATAAAACTGATCAAATTTCAAAGTTTAGTAATAGCAAAAATGTTGTTCCAAAAATAATAATCAAATTAAGAAGTTTAATAGCAAAAACACTACTTGATAAATAAAAAATTTTAAATTTGAATTATATGAGATGTAAGTAGTGGTGGAATCACAAAAAAAACAAAAGATAGAGCTTCTTTTTTTTTAATCCTAACTCTAAATATACATTTTTTTATTTGTATAATGAGATTTAGATTAGGACGTTTAACATTTTTTGCTTTTACAACTCTTATCTATATTTTTTTATTTGTAAATTTTTGAGACTAGGACTCATGTCTATTTCCGTCCTCATGTAATTTTATTATTAGATATAGATGAACTGAATTAAGAGATATAACTAAGATTAAAAAATAATAATCATACAATTAGCTAGCATTTCTTTCAGTTTCATATCACCCGATACTCATTACTTTTGACAAAACGTTTTAACATCATCAGCATTAACATTGCAAGAAAAACGTTTGGATTTAAATGCTAATCTTGAACAGTTTGAGGGCACCAGTAAACGGAAGAATTCTTTGGGATCTATAATTGAAAAAACGCAGAAAGTTTCAGGGCTTAGAGTTAGACATGGAGCTATTAAGGGAAACAAACGACGTCGTTGTTTATCTTTCTTTTTCGTCTTTGTCTTCGGTTCTCCTTTTCTCCTTTCCTCTACTTTGCAGGGTTTATTTCGTTGAGAATATCTCTCTCTCTGAAACCAAATTCGTCGGTGCCGTTGCAGTTTCAGTCGTACCTGATCGCCGGCAATAATCTCGGCTCTGTTTTCTCGGTTCAGGTAACCCAAGACGACATCGTCTTGATGCTTCTGATTTCTTCATTGATTCTGCTCTCTTCTTAGTTCTTGTAATAGTTGTTTGCCAACCGAGAAAGTATGAAGCATTTTGTTTGGTAGTTACAGACAATTGTTAAAAGTCTCAGATTATTGCCTGAAATTTTGGATTTACTGGCAAATTTTGATTTTTAAGTATGTGATTGAGTGAGTGTTTGACTTGTTGAATTTTTTCTGGATGGAATTCCTGAAAATTTTTAGCAATATCAGAATGAATGAGACTCTCTGTTACTTTTTGAAGCAAAAATTATAAATTTTTTTGGGCTGTTTCTGGTTGGTGCTGTCATGATTTCACTGTGACCAAATTTAGATGGGTTTGGAACATAGGTGTGTGAACTAAATATTGATTATTGAAGCATCAGGATCATTCTGTGCTAGCTGAATCTAGCTTTTTATGAACTTGGGTATCTGTGTTAGAAATTGGTTGGCTATAAGTTACCAATGGTTTGTATTTGTTTAAGCTTGTTTATCCAATGAGTGCATATTTTTGCAGATAATATTTGGGTATAGAGATTTATACTTGCAAAGGTGGGTTTTAGGTTTGTGAAGATAAGACCTGATTGAAGCTGGTAAAGAGTTATTCATTTCATGATAAGCAGATTTTGTTTGTCAGTGTGTGTTTGTGGTTGGTTGTCATGATCACCTTATCATATCATCATTGTTTGTTGCTGTGTGGTTGGTGCCTAAGTGATGACTCAGGACAGGTTAGGGGTTATGGTGGGGTAGGGGATTTAGAGGATGGTTTAGGCCAATAAGTTTCATTACTGCTGGTTTGGATGGTGTTATTTATGGTGGAGACTGCTGATGTTTTTCATTCAGCAGTAGGTGCAGTTATTGTGATGATGCATATTATGATTGGTAATTTAGTGATTGATTCGTTGGATTGTTGAAATGTTTGATAAAACTGGAGATAGCGTGACGATGAAATTTTCTATATCTTGAAGCTGGCATTAGCTGCAATGGGTTGAAATAGTGTTTACAATAAAAAGCTGATCACATTTTTTAAGATAGGGTTGTACTTTTGCAAACAGAATCTCAGTGAAGCATCTTTTCTGTGTTCTTGGGTTATATTTCTCTGTCAGGTTGTCTCTAGCCACCTAATGGGAAGCAAGGGTCGAATCCCACCTCCTCATCTGAGGAGACCTCCCCCTGGTCCTGGCATGGTGCATCCTGAACCATTTGGTCCTGGCATGGTGCATCATGACCCATTTGGTCCTGGAATACGGCCCACACCAGGTCCATTTCCTCATCTCGACATTTTGCTACCCCCAGAAATTATGGAGCAAAAGCTCGCTGCACAACATGTGGAGATGCAGGGCCTAGCCACTGAGAACCAGCGGCTTGCTGCCTCTCATGAGACGTTGAGACAAGAACTTGCTGCTGCGCAACATGAGTTGCAAATTTTGCATGCCCAAATTGGAGCAGTTAAGTCTGAGAGAGAGCAACAGATGAGGAACCTAAAAGATAAGATTGCCAAGATGGAAGCTGATCTGAAAGCAGCAGAGCCTGTTAAGTTAGAGTTGCAGCAGGCACATACTGAAGCTCAGAACTTGGTTTTAGCAAGGGATGAACTTATGTCTAAAATTCACCAATTGGGTCAGGATCTTCAGAGGGTCCATGTAGATGTTCAACAAATACCAGCCTTGATGACAGAGCTTGAGAGCCTCAGACAGGAATATCACCATTACAGGTTTTTGTTGACCTCTTGTTTATGGGTGTTTGGAAGCAAAGTTGAGAAAGATTAACATAAAGTGGCTGATATTGAACTGGAAATTAATCTCACACTAGTTTTGAAACCATAGCAGAAGCAATAGAATTTTTTCTTAAGCATCTATGGTTCAACTTCAGCTATTCTGCCAGGGTCACTTTGTCAAATATTTACTTTCAAAAGAGCTTTATGTGCTCTCTTTATTTGTTTTGATCTATGGCAAACCACCATAATAGAAGTTTTTATACCAAGAATTGTTCTTTATGTTTTTAAGGCCTGTTTAGTTCTGCAGAAGTTCTGTCATATGTTACTCCATGTCGTTTTCTCCAGTGTTCCTCCTGCATTCTTCTTATAATCTGTTCCCTTTATGATAATGTGACAACTTACTTTTCTGTCCATGCAGGGCTACTTATGATTATGACAAGAAGGTTTACAATGATCACCTCGAATCACTTCAGGTGATGGAGAAGAACTATATGACGATGGTTAGGGAAGTGGAGAAGCTTCGAGCAGAGTTGACTAATGCTTCTATTGTGGCTGGTATCTTTTCCTCCATACCTTTCTACTTCTAGAGCTCTTTGGTTCCATATGTTTCTTGAATGTCATAAGATTATTTTTGTGGCAATCAATTTCACTTTATGGTGGTACCACAGGAAACAATGAGAATGAGGCTTCTGCCCGTCCTATGGGACATGGTCCTTTTGAAGATAGCTATGGTGTTCACCAGGTATGTGACTTCCAGAATGAGCTTTGCGAAATCATTCATTAATTTGAATGTCATTATTATATGTCTTGTATGGATAATTGATGGGATGCAAGAGAGTACCATCCAAAGAGCAATCTTGAAAGGATCATATTAGACTCTTCTTTTTTTTTTCTCAATTCTTACTGAAATCTGAAACATTATAGATGTAGTAGTATATAAATTTTGAAAACTTGTAGATATGTACAAGATACCAAACATTTCTGTCTTGGTTTGGTTTGTGGTTGCAAAGTTTCAATTGAATCCATGGTTGTGCTGGATGGTGCTTGTTAAAGACTAATTACACTCTTTTAACATTTTTTATCACAGGGGCATGCTCCTCTCCCTGGTGTTGCAGCTGGTTTAAATGCCACTGCTGGAACTGCTGCATATGTTGGAGCTCAGTCTGGGCCTGCTCCTACTCCTCCTACGAGGGCTGGCTATGAGGCACCAAGAGGGCCTGCTTATGAGCCATCAAAAGCACCCAGTTATGATGCAGCAAGAGCACCAGGCTATGACAGGGGACCCAGTTATGATGCTTCCAGGGGTGCTACTTATGATGTGCAAGCCAGAGCTGCTGCTTTGGTGCACAGACAAGTCCCACCTCTGAATAATAATGTGCCTTATGGAATTGGAACAACTGTTCGTCCTGTGAGTGCATATGAGCCACCACCTAGAGGTGGAAACGTTGTTCGGAGATGAAAAATAGACATTGCAATGCTATTACTCTCCCGCAAAACTCTCTCAAAGATGTAGCTGGTCCCATGCAGCACTCAAACAAGTATGCTTCTATCTTTGAGAGCGCTCTGCTTGGGCAATGTTCAACTTCCAAGCGATTTGGTGATTTGTTTCTTGATTTATTAGTAACTTTTAGGCACTGATATCCATTTTCCTTCGGGAAATCTGAAGAATTTGAAAGTCTTAAGAGTTTAGAGTTTGCTGTTGAAGGCTGGTGCCATACACAAATTGAGAAATGAGAGAGAGAGAGAGATGTCCAAACATTTTAATGTAAAATTTCACAAATTTAAAGCATCGGGTTCAGGTCTATGTGGATGTTCACTCTGAGCATGGTTGGGTTTCTTTCTTTCTTCTTCTTCTTCTTCTATTTTCGGGGGAAGGGGAGATAGAAATAAAATCTGCTTAACTAATGAAGAGAGGAAACCAAACAGTCAACATATGAGGGTGCTGGGTTTTTTTTTATTAATTTTTTGGTATCTGATAATTATATTGGGTTTTAATTAATTTGAAATTGATTCATTATAAGATTTTATTCATAAGACTTAAATTTGAAACTTTATTTAAAGGGAATTAATTTCATTTCACTCAAACGAACAAGTCATTGGTACATACAAGGATACTTGGTAACCATAAATTATATGTTGTTTGATAGATATTTTATTTTTTTATAGTTTCTTTTTCTTAAATAATTGATTATAATATTTAAAATATTAATTTATAAGTTAACTATAATCATAAATAGTAAATTTCAATTGCCCCGGTCAAAAATAATTAAAATCAAAATTTTTAAAAATAATATTATAAATTTGTGTAATCTTAATAAATTTTTACGTGAGGATGACCACAGCCTATTTTGGCACCTAACTTCTCTTCCACAAAAACAGAGAATTCACTGCCTTTAAATATTGCGAGGTCTGCCTTCCACTCTCCTTATCAATACCAATTCATTCATATCATCTCCCTCGTCCTTTCTCTCTATTTCCTCTTTCAACTTTCCCTCTATTCCACAACCATTTTATCTCCCTGCTCTCTCCACTTAAATTTCTTCCAAACAGGATTGCTTGGAGCCATGGTGATGATGGGGTTAGGTAGGTTGGTGGTGAGCTTCAAGTCTAAGCTAAAGAGTCTGAAAGCGAAGAAACTTTATGACAAGATTGAAAAGAGTGAGAGTATGAGAATTGAGATAAAGAGTAGGAAGGCCCGGAAGCTCATCGAGCAGACCCTCAAGATTGCAGATTCTCCAAAGAGCAGGACGTATGCCTTTTGATTACTGCTATATATACTTGTGTTATGTAAGTAACGATGATTATCAAGAGAAATGAATATCAAGCCTCTGCTTACTTGTTGCATCTAATTATTTTTTATTACATGCTTGTGCTACATCAGTTGATAAACTACAACAAGAAATAATTTTCCGTTTCCCTCATTCCCTCCTCATTTGTCTTAAAATTTGAACTTGAGATTTGTAATTTAAAATTTCAAAACTCTTCATCAATCAAGATTCTCCCTTGAGGTTTTTATTACATGCTTGATGCTTGGAAACCCAATCACACACACCACATGTAATATACATACTAGGAATCTAACATTACCATCTCAAAAACATAGAATATAGTTTTAAGCCTTTAAGGAAGCCACTTCAAAAAAAAAAGAAAAAAGAAAAAGCTTTTAAGGAAGTCTCCATACATTTTAGGGCGCAGTTTTCAGTCCAGCCTGGTTAGTTTTAATGCTAGTTATGGGGGCATGAAACCCAAAAATACCCTTCATGATCATCACACATGCACATATCATTAAGGGTATTTTTGCCTTTTACTAACCAGCCGCCAGACTGACGTGATAATTCTTATTACTTTTTCTTGTTTGCTTGAAGCTCTAGTTGAATGACCCAAATTATCTATTCTAGTTGCCGACCATGTATCCTACTTTTAAGAAAGAACCATTTAGAAGCACAGCAGTATAAAGATGTAATCAAGCATAAGCTTCACGAAACGAGTCAATTGAATTGATTATGATATTTCCTAGAATAGAATTCGGTGTGATTAGGTCAAAAGCCATATCTGAAAGTAGAACAAATCAAGCAGTGGAAGACAAAAACCGAGAGGCTGAGAGAGAAAACGCCTATGACATGGCCCTCTCAAAATATAAGTTATCATTAAAGAATGATAATGAAGGATGAGAAAACGGGATGAGGATGGAAGAAAAGAGAGAAAAAAGTTGATAATGATGTGGCAATTGAAGGAAAATTGAACTCTAATATGGGAATCATGGATTGTCATTTGAAAAGCTTGTACTATTGTATCCTGAAAAAAGCAAGTCTACATTCATTCACTCCCCACCACCACAATTTGGAAGGAAAGCAATGTCCACACATGAAATAATGATGGTACTGCAAAAGGGTTGATGGTATAAAGGTGCTTTTGAGAAAACCAGATTTTTGTTCTCAAAGGACCTTATGGGAATCAAATTCCCACAAGAAAACATCACAGAAGAACATATAGGTTGCATCTACTTTCAGGCAATAGATTGGAGAATCGGATATCCCAATTATTAAAAGCTTGTGTACATATGGTCGAAAGAACACAACCAGCATTTGTACGCTTTCTAACTGCTCCTATAAAAGTTTATGGACAGCTCATTGTAAAAATTTCTCTTCATTAAGAAAATAAAAAATCAAATCAATGGCAAAACATTAGGACAAGAGAATAAAGAGATGGATATTAGAACGTACGAGGGAGGTCTTTGCAGTGAATGCAGGTCCATGGTAACAAATAAGGATCTAGACAGTAAGAATGAATTTTTCGAAGCTGACAAAGATTGCAGCTGATCAGCATATCTGCAGGTTCTCGTGAACGGCATTTACAGCAAATTGTAGCCAAGGACTGTTAAAGCACACAGAAAAATTAGCAACAAGAGTCCAATAATAAGTGCCACAAAGATGCAGACAAGTAACCAGGGTTTTAGTAAATGAGGATAATGAAGAGCCATCTAGATCGACATATGCAGACAAGCCTTAATAGTGATGTAATGCTTCTTGAAACATCTTTCTATAGAATAGTTAATTTTGATGAACTATTGATAATATATGTACGTAAACATGCAAGCATGTTTTGCCTTTGCACATGAACACAGCCATATTATGCCTTCCATGTAATGACTCCAGCTGGAATGCAATGTCTCTTATCCTGCTTCATTGTTTGCTTTACCCCTCATATTGTCCAGTTTATTATCTACCACTCACGTATGTCAGTTCACATGAAAGGATATCATAGCAGATTAATGCTTCTAAATGAAGGTCATGGTCTGTAATAAGGTAACTATTACCTGAGCACCAAAACTGGGTCTTTCTGGATCAGGAAGAGAAAAAACATTTATTATTGAGGTGGAACATGGAATAGTTTGGGAGTAAATCTTTTGATCAATGGAAGCCGCATCTTCCACCTTAGTAATGCTCACAAAACTGGCCTTGCACAACGGACAAGTTGAAGCCTTCCTACTTGCAGTCTGTTTCCAACATCAATAGTATGAGAATATACTTCCCAATCGCATCAAAAGCAATACGGTGAGAGGGATAGGGAAAAGCACTAAATCATGGAAGCCATTTAAACAAATCCTTATGAACAGAAAAATTCAAGTTGCCGAAATATAAAATACAGAGAAAAGATGGTTTGGTTCTAAAACCAAATTAAAAGAATTCCCAATCAATCAAATTTAAGTATCTAGAATTCCCAGTGAATATTACTCATAATGAAAGAAGTCTAGAGGATATGAGGATCATGATATATAAATGGCTGTATGTAGTTCCTAATAGCACAACTGCACAAAAAGAACAGGCTTCTTTTTCTACATCTCTTATTTGACCTTGTTTTGCTAAATTCTATGATTGACATAAAGCAGATATTAGAACTTCTGACTTCTAGATAGTTGACCGTTTGGAAAATGTAAGATTCTAGTTGGAATGATTGCAAAGGAGAATAAAGGAGAGTGAAAAGAATATATACCATACGGCCTGCCCAGTCCTGGATGCAATCATAACAAAATCGATGTCCACATGGCAAAACCCCTCTCGTTTGACTAAACTCTGTCCAGCATATAACACATGATAACTCCTTTGAAGGTGGTAATGTGGTGCCATGCTCTGTCTGATCCACATCTCTACTATTCACATTAATGTTCTCAGCATTGGAGCAACCTTGTTGCAAGATTCTTTTACAGGAAGACACTGCATTCTTTGCAGATGAACTTAAGTTCTTGGACACAGGTGAAGGGCTCCACACATTGCCTTCCTTGATATCTTCATCAACATCTATTATACTCCTACTCATACTAAAGTTACAATGAGATGTTCCTTCAATTTCAGAAACACTAATAACCCTTTCATCAAGAGAATGGTTGGAGAGGGCAATGACTTTGTTATATTGCTTTGGAACTGAGATTTGACAGCAATCTGGGAGGGAGTACGAAAGTTTGGACTCCAGAATGTCTCGTTGAACATTCTTCTTTATGAGTCTCCGTCTACGTGGAGATCCAGCCAAACAACTGCCTTCTGTGGAATTATAAATGTTCTTTCCATTCTTAAGTGATTGCATGAAAGACTGAGAGTTTGACTCTTCCTTCTTTGAGGACTTTCTTTTCCCCCTCAAGGAATGCATAGGAGAACTTGGTTCATGCTTTTCAATCAAAATGAAAAAATAATAACAATAATAATAACAGTGATAAATAAAATAGAGAGAGAGAGAGAGAGAGAGAGAGAGAGCAAATCCATTATAAATAATCCAAGCTCTAATATTAGCAGTTACATAGAAATATAAAATGCAAATAAAAAGGAGTAAACATCATCCCCCGTTATTAGAAAGAGATAAACTCATAAAGCAACTCAAAGCATCCAACAACAAGAAATGAGACTAGAATATATTCATGGCCCAAGTATGAGTAATGGGTTTGCTTCAATCTATATGCCGATTTGGTTAACAGTACTGGCCTCTGGATCCATCTGATCCAAGTGAATTCATTATTCTCTCCTATTCATTCCACTCACCCCCACGCCTCCCAATTATTTGACTCCAATCTATTGTCATGTTGAACTAAATCACTGTTGCAGTGACAGAAGAAAAGAACAGAAGCTGATTTTGTAATAGATGCAAGTTTGTTTTATGCGTGTTTATGTGTGAAAGATGCTAGTTAAGGTAAGGGAACTACTGAGTACCAGTTTTTCAGGTCTTCAACTTTTCTAGCATGAATACTTTGATAGGTTAATGTCCAAAAGGAAAAATTTATCCTGGACAAGATTTTACAGCATGACTATTGTGTAAACTTCAAATCTTGACCAAAATTTGTAGAGCAAAAACAACGGCTAGGATAATTAAAAAAACATCACAATTAGTCAAGTTTACTTTACAAAATACTGTAGAAAGTTCAAGCCATGGGAAGGATCAAACAGCCATTACCTCCTTTCTACCTAGTTCAGATAAAGGAGTCTCCTGAAAGCATTTCACACTACTAGACCAATTCTCCTGCTTTGAAGTTCTAACAGATTTTGACTTCAGTTTATGACAACCACCACTGCTTGTCCCGAGCAGAGGGAACAAATTCTGAAAAAGAAAGGCAACAATGATTGCCATACCTCAAGTATTAAACAACTGAATTGCAGAAAATGCTTACAATACACCGAAGCTATAAACCAGGATGTTTGATGTATAAAACAGACATCGGACATGGATATGATAACAAATTAATAAACAAAAAAGAATAACACACTGCATTAAAACTATTGTTGAAATGAATCTCAGGCACGTGAAAATTGTATCAGTGAATCTCATTATGAATTTAAACAACACACATAAAATCGCTACATCAATTAAAAGTAGTCACAGGAATGCCATGATTATCAAAATTCAAAATCCAATTACATCATCAACTAAAATTTGCGTATGATTGATGAATTCCAATGGAAAGACAGGAAGGAGGAAAAGAGGAAGAAGATGAATTAAAGTCGAATACGCACCTCGTCCAACAATGGAGATTTCATCCAAGCCGACAAATCAGAACCCCCATAGTCAGCATCAAACACTTCTTTTCCACAGTTTCCACGAATAGTGGACCTCTCAGAAAGTACTTTCCCTTTCTTACTCAAGTCATCTGCCTCAGCAACAACCGGCACTTCCGTAACTAAAGGTCCCACATCTTCTCCACTGCAATTAAATATCAAAACTTGTATGATTGACTCCAGATAATACATATCTTGATAATTATAATCACAATTATATTAAATTCCAATAATAATAATAATAATCAAGAAGAATACCTCTGCAACATGTAAGGATCTTCCGGAACATGTTTTCCATGCTTTATGCAATCTTGTACCCAGCGATGGTTAACTACTTTTGTCCCGAAATTCATAGCAAGCTCGTATTTCCTTCCCTCAAATTTCCAGCATACCTAATCAACGAACCGCCCAGACGCAAAAATTAGCACCATTTTCCCATCACCATCTCAAATTTCAAAGAAAAAAAAACAAAGACACGAGATAAAGCACACCAGATGAGTAATTGACGGAGACATTGCGCCGACGTAACTTGCTCCGGCGTGAGAGATGAGTTTGATTAGATTGAATCGCTCAGAACCGTGGTAGCCGCTCACGGTTGCTATCACGGATTCCATTTTTTTCATCAAAAAGGAGAAACTGAGAATCAGAAAATTGCTAATCCGAAAATTATGGACTGAATCAAACGTAGATGGAGGGTGTTTGGCGGGAGGCAATATTTTTAAATTTTTTCGATGGAGTTGGAGGGTTTTGATTTTTAAGTATATATAATATATGGGTCTGTAGATCGGACTACTCATTTTCCCGAAAGACAAGCTCGGGTGAATGAAGATAATTATTGGCCATTGAATTTGGTCCTTAAACTATTTACAAATATTCGTAATGATCCTTAAAAAACTGTCTCGTTACCGTCTGTAACTTTCAAGGGGATTCTTTCTTTTGACGTGGCACTAATTGCTTAAAATAACTTTAGAAGGGTCCCTTAATAAATTTTTTTCTTTTGTCAAATATATATATATATATATATTTTGAACATATTTGTAAGGGACGGGTTTCGAACCTAGTCCAGAGAAGGGGGAATACACCGAGGTGGCTATTGCCACTAGGCCTCAAGGGCCATGTGCATATATATATATATATATATTTTTTTTTGACAGTTGAGTCTAGTTAAAACAATATTTAATAAGTCATTAATATGAATGCTGCTAGTTGTAAAAATAAAAATGTTAGATGGGGATTGTCTCCTGGACTGTCAAGCCCACCAATATTTTAGTGTTAAATTCACTAAAATTATAAAATATTATATTTAAAAATATTAATTTTATTTAATTTAAATATTAAAAATAATTATTAATTATAATTATTAATTAATAAAATAATTAATATTTATTAATTAATAAATTAAAATCAATTAATAAACTAATATTTTTAAATATCATTTAAGAAATAAATATAAATATCATTTAAGAAATAAATATAAAATTTTTATATCTTTAACAATCTTCGTTATAACAATAATCATACCCATTGTCCCAACATTAAAAAATTTATATTACAACACATATAATGATTTATATTATATAATTTACACTACATAACACATATTTGCATTTAATGTATCAAGTATTAGTAAGTTGTAGTATATTTGAGAAAGTAGGGAGGGCCATCCTCTTGCAGAGGAGGCAGCGCACCGTGAAGTCCATTATCACAAGGACGGTCCATACCAAGTGCCAGGATAAATGGTCGAAGTTCAATTGGCTTGACTAGTGAAAAAAAAAAAAAAAAAAACGGGAGAAGAAGAAAAAGAAAAGTGAAAAACACACAAACCAGTCTTTTAAGCTTTAACTTTAACTTTAGTTTATGTTTTAACTTTTGTCCTCTTGCGGAGAGGCAAGGCATCGTTAAGTCCGTGCCCACAATGAAAGTTCAGATCCAGAGCAACAAAGATATTACTACCATCTAAAGCTTTAAAAAAGGGAAAGAAAGAAAGAAAGGATCCCTAGAGTCGACAGTTGGTTTGATTATGCTCTAACTTTAGATTCCCTCACTATATTAAATTTCCTTATCCAATAATTAACTTTTCATAGAGTACAATAGAGTTTATATTTAACCATTTTTAGCTGGTTAAGTAACATATATGTCCATGTTATTGGTCTCATTAAACGATAATTAACACTCAAAGTCTAGTAAAAAGAATTTAGTTTTCTTTAAATAAAATTTTAAATTCAAAATTTATAAATAAAAAAGTAAATGTTAAAAAATCTTTTCCTTTATAAAATCCAATCTAACTCGATTTCGAATTAATTAGAATTGGTTACTAGATATTGAGAGGTTAATATAAAAAAAACAATAATTAACAAAAACATTAGAGATACTAAGAAGATGTTTATCAAATTAATACTAATTAATTTAAAACTTTTAATTTGAAGTTACGCAATTAACTTTCATTTTATTAAAAAAAAAAAAACAATAACTATCACTAAAGAGAAATTAAAGGTAAGATCTTTTTTTCTTTTAACTCAAACTCTAAAACCTTTTTTTTTTTTTTTGTGATCTACCAATGAATTTATGAATTTATGATAAGGTCTATAATTTTTTTTCTTCTTTCCAACCTTACTCTTAAATAATTTTATTTCCTGTTTTTTTGGGGTTGGGCACCGCCATGCCTAACCCAACCCCATGTAATCTCACCCCTGATCACCGCCTTATAACCTGTCTATAGATCCCCAAGAATGAGCCATCCATTCTAAATAACTTGTATCGGCAAATTAATTTAGGCAGTAACTTGCCTTACTTTAAATTGCTCTATTTCATAAGGAAAAGGACCGACATATATGGCAATAAATCTATATTCCTCTCAATTTCTGTACTGGCTACTGATCTTCATATACTTTCCTTACTAATTGACATATTACCTTCCAATAATAATAATAATAATAATTGTTCATATAAAATCAAGGATCCATGTTTATCAAAAAGAAAAAATAAAAATCAAGGATCCTTGTAATAAGAAAACTTATTTGAGAAGTACTAAACAAAAAAAAATTTTCAATGGTTTCAAATACATTATGTAATTGGCATGAGTAACAAATTCTTTTTATTTTTATTTTATACATTAGATGGTAAATTATATAATATAAAATAATTTTTATTTTTTAAAACTTTTTTACTTTCGTTTTAAAATTTAAATTTAAAATTTTTACCCACCGAAATGTCTGCTAAGAAATTTATTACCTTATTTGCTCATATATATTAAGAGTGGAAAAATTCATCACATAAAACAATCAAAAGTATGAGAGGAGAAAAATTCATCATATAAACCAATCAAAAGTGATCAAAGAAAGAGTCCAAAAGAAGAGTGCCGCCAACGCTCGTGAAGTCATTTTCTCCGTCGTGCTAGAATGCCTACCGTTAAATTTCTCGAGTGTCCAAAAACCATTAAAATTCTCGGTAAGCATTTCATTTTACCCACTTGGTAAGCAAATCATTTAATATCCTGAAATTAAAGAGTCCCACAAGTACCCAAACGTCCTGTTCCCTGTACACGAATGCTACTAATTGCTAAACCCCTCCTATAATCCCTCAAATGGTTATGGTAAAAACGAAAAAGAAATTTCCTCCTCGTTCTCCTCCGTTCTTTTTCTCTGCAAATGTAATGGAGCTTCCCTTGAGAAGAAGCAACGCAAAGATAGTCCTACTAGTCACCGTAGCCCTCCTCCTGCTCACAATCGTCATCCCCATTTATTACCCTCTGTTAGGCTACCCTGTATATTTGTTGAAGCATTATTCTACCAAGTCCTCATCAGGGTCATCATCATCATCATCATCATCATCCTTATCAGCTGTAGATGTGCAGGCGCCGGTGTCGGCGCCGCCACCGAGAAAAGCTGATGAGGACGACGATGACGATGAGGACGGGATCAAGTTTTGTGATTTATTTTCCGGGGAGTGGGTGCCTAACCCAAAGGCTCCGTATTACACCAATAGCACATGCTCTGCCATCTACGAGCGCCAGGACTGTATGAAGCATGGGAGACCTGATACTGGGTACATGAAATGGAGGTGGAAACCTGACGGGTGTGACCTGCCAATCTTCAATCCGGTTCAGTTCCTGGAAATCGTCAGAGGGAAATCGATGGCCTTCATCGGAGATTCTCTTTCCGGCAACCAAATTCAGTCCTTGATTTGCCTCATTTCCAGGGTAAGTCATCCATCTCTCTTTTTACAACATGCTAAGATTTTCCAGTGTCAGAAATCTTAGATTTGGAATCGGAATTCAGCAGTTTTCACGAGTACCAATTAAATTTGATTAAATAAATGTATAGGATCCAACGAAAGGTAACATAAATTACAATAAAGTAATTTTAAAGGTTGGATTTACAAATGATTTGATGTTTTGTAAATCAGGTTTAGCAATTTCATTTCTTTAAGCATGGTGGATGGAAGGGAGTGTTCTTAAAAATTAACCAAGCTCAAGAGCTTAACTTTTCTCTAAACAAGTCCAACTCAAGTATTTTTTTTTTTTTTTTGAGTTCAACGAGTTTGAGCTTGTTATTTTAGAATCAAAAGTTCAAAGTTGAGCATTTTAAGTGGGTGTTTGTTTTAAAGTTTAAAAAATTAATTTTAATTAAACGAATTACATATTTTACATTATAAATTATTATTATTATGATTATTATTAAAAATTAAATATTAGTTATTAACTATTAACTACATTAAAATAAATAATTCAAACACCCCCACCTCTACTCAACTCATTTTCCGCCTAGGGTTAATGCACACAAGTTGCCTGAGAATATTAAAGTTTGATAGCCCGTATTTTGTGGTAGGCTAGGAACTAGCACTCAACTTTAGACTTTTTAATTTTTGTTAGTCTACTTAAGTTTAGACTTTAACAATTGGGTTATCTAACTTTATTGTAGCCGACACCCGATAGTCACTCCCCGGGTCTTTCACATTCCCTTGGTTTCATCCGATAATTGTGCTCGAGTTGACTGCACTGCATAATCAAAGGAGCTCTAACTCATGTTCTTGAATCCTCACAGGTGGACTATCCTATATCTGTATCCACACCAGATGAGAATTTCAAGCTATGGAACTGCACGTACTACAATTTCACCTTCGCGTTATTGTGGACACCGCACCTGGTCAAGGCCATACAAGCCGACCCTAATGGCCCCACCGGCTCTGGCCTCTTCAACCTCTATCTAGACGAGTCCGACCAACGATGGACTACCCATATTCAAGAATTTGACTACATCGTCATCTCTGCTGCTCACTGGTTTTACCGGCCTTCTGTCTTCTATGAGAACAACCAGATTACCGGCTGCCACTATTGCCTTCTCAACAACGTCTCCGACTTAACAGAGAGATACGGCTACCGGAAGGCCATCAGGTAAGGACATATTCAGTTTCAGGGCAGTAAGATGCATTAGTGTTCCCACTAAGTTCAAAAAAATTCTACAGACAGCTTTAATTAGACTGTTAGAATGTCAGCTTCATTTAAACTGTTAATCCAAATAGTCAAACACCTCAATTTTTAACGACTTTTTTGAGACGTTTGTTCTGAATCTTTACCTGCATACTTGTATTCAGGACGGCTTTTAGGGCAATCAATGAATGTAAAAATTTCAAGGGCGTAACGTTCCTCAGAACCATATCTCCACCCCACTTTGAAAACGGGCCATGGAACCAAGGTGGGAATTGTGTGAGAACCAAGCCGTTTAAGAGGAAGGAGACGCCGGCTTTGGAAGAGGGACATCTAGAAATTTACAAGATTCAGCTGGAAGAGTTTAGAGCCGCTAAAAAGGAGGGGAAGAAGAAGGGGAAGAAATTCAGGCTGATGGACACGATGAAAGCAATGCTGATGCGGGCAGACGGTCACCCTAGTAGGTATGGCCATTTTGCGCAAGAGAATGTGACTGCTAATGACTGCCTGCATTGGTGCGTGCCAGGACCAATCGACGCTTGGAACGATTTCTTGCTTGAGATGTTGAAGATGGAGGAAGTGAGATCGTATGCAGAAAAAGTTTTTTCAAGTGACAACAAAATGTGATTTCAGAAATTTTTTGATTTTTGCATTAAAGTGGCTCTTTGTTGTTAAGTACTGTGTTGTAAGTTTAATATATTTACAGCCTGCTTATATACTTAAAAAACCAAGAAGAAAATATTGCTAAAACCCGATACTGAGATTAATACAGAAAAGTGGAACTGTTTTTCTTCTTTGCTATGAAGCTCTAGATCTAGACTACAACAGCAGTTGAATTACACCTAGAACTAAAATTAAATATCTGGAATATCCATGTCTTAAGGATTATTATACCCCCTTTCACGGATTTGTTGACATCGTTAGCTTAAGCATTAGACAAAAGTATTTTATTTTTATGCAGAACCTGACAAAATCTAGAGACTTCGCTGATTTTTGAGATTCCTACCAGCACATGCGCATTGTCAGCGTTTTTGTTTTGTTTTTATTTTTTATTTTTGAGGAAGGAGAAATTTACTTTTTTTTAAAAGATGCGGGTATGACCGCACATTTTTCTTTAAGATGCTGCGTATATTTTGCTGATTTTAATTAATATTTTATTATTTTATTATTTTTTTGAATAAATAATTAGTTATAATATTTAAAAATATTAATTTAAAAATTAATTTTAATTTATTAAATATTACTTTATTTATTTATTTTTAATAAATTAGTTTTTTATTTAAAAAAATAAAAATATAATAATTTATTAATAAAATTTTATATTTATTTTAAATTAAGTATTATTTAAATAATATTTTCTAGTCAATATTTATTGTAATTATTTTTTATAATTATGATAAAATAAAAATAAATACATTATATAATATTTTTTTAAAAAATTAAAAAATTAAATTTAAATATCTCAAATAAAAAATTAAATCTAATAAAAATAAATAAATAAAATAAAATAAATCTCCTTAAAATAAATTAATATTACGTGGCCTTTAACATGATTGTTGCGGGGGTCACAAGACTCACAACCAAAGGAAACAAAAAGGGAAAAGAATCAGTGCACGTTAGTTGTCGGTGGGAATTCAATTTCAATGCGTACCGCTCTCCGCATTAAAATATGTCACAAACCGAGGGAGGCACCCATCGAAACAAACAAAATCAGCACGGAGCGAATGAGCAATAACAGCGAGGGGGTGAGTAGACATGGTGGCTTCCTTAAAAGCGTGTAAGCCTAAGGAATTTCCGCGAATATCTCCCTATGATCCAAAATCAAAGAACACACGGGAGGGTTGGAAGGAAGGATACTTAGAATATATTTGGTGAAATTTATAAGTGTTTTAATTTTTTTATATTATTTATATTTTATAAATTTAAATTTTATTTTTAAAAATTTATATTTTTTAATTTTTTTAATCTTAAAATATTTTGAAAATTTTTTATTTTTTATTTTTTATAAACATTTTTTTTACTTACTTCTCACTTGTTCCTTATTATTTTTAAAAATAATTTTTAAAATTTAAATTTATGACTTATAAACAATACTAAAAAAAATAAAATTTTCAAGAAATTTCATCAAATATTCGCTTAGTGAACAGCTGGAAGGCCCTCAAAGAGTCCGTTTCAAAGCAAGATCCTGACCCATTTTAAACAAACCCATTTAACGCGGCCCATTGTAACCCCTAGCACTTTTTTATCCAACAGGTTAAAGTATACAATTGGTACCTTACTTTATTAAGTTTGAAGTTTTTAACCCTTACCTTATGTTATGAAGTTTTTAGCCCTTAAACTTAAAGATTTGAAAATTTTAACCCCTTAATTAATGGAATCCATTAACTCTTTGTTAAGTAAGAATAAAATATTTACAGAATCAATCCTTAAAAATTAAAAATCTAATAATTTAGTTTCAAAATTTTAAAAATAAAAAAATTAATAAATTAAAAATAATTAGTGAATATCTTTATCATATACATAAGAACAATATTAGATATCTAAAATAAAATTGAGTGATTAGCTCAATCTAAAGAAAAGAATTTTGATTGAGACTAAAGAAATTTTTTTAACTATATTACTTTAATCTTTTAGAATTTTTGTCTTGATTCAGTTAATTTTTTTTTTTAATTTCAGTTAGAATTTTTTTTTAAATTGAGCTAATCACTAGATTTATATAAATATCTAATACTCTTTTAGTATATGTGAAAAATTCATCTGTTGATTCTTTTTAATTTACTAATTTTTTTAGATTTTAAACTTTTAGAACTAAATTATTACATTTTTAATTTTTAAAAATTGATCCTATAAATATTTTATTTTTACTTTAACGAAAAGTTAACAGATTCCATTAGTCAAAGGCCTAAAATCTTCAAATCTTTAATTTTAAGAGTAAAAATTCCATAGTATATGGTGAGGGGTTAAAAATTTCAAACTTAATAAGGTAAGAGACTAAATATATGGTTTAGCTTATCTAACAGGTATAGAAACACTGCAATCTCTCTCTGTTTTTTTTACAAAGGGCAATTCCTTAAACACTGATTAGTCTCATAGGCTTGAGGCCTATACACTTTTAATAAATCATTCGTAGGATCCAAATAAGCTGAATCAAGTGGCACCTCAAAGACCTGAAGACCACTTTCTAAGTGAAAGAATCCCAAAACCATATGATCTGCACAATAATGTGCTTCCCTAAATATGTGGTGCACCCCCACATTGCCACTCTCGCTGATAGGGATGAAAATGAGTCCCACGAGGGTGAGGACCTCATCTTCATTGTTATGCTCACAATAGTAGGTAGGGTCCCACGAGAGTGAGGATCTCCTCTCCATCCTTATGCCCACAATAGTAGGTAGGGTCTCACGAGAGTGAGGATCTCCTCTCCATCCTTATGCCCACAATAGTAGGTAGAGGGATCTCCATAGATATTTTCAATGAAGTGCAAAGAAGGCCCTCCATCCCTATCTTTGTGGGGATGGAAAGTCCCCATAAGTATGTGAATTCTCTACAAAATATTAAAATTATAGAATGTAACCTCATTTTTTTTGAGAAATAAATTTTATAACATTAAATAAAAAGTAATTCATGAAATATAAAAATAAAAACCTACAATAGTGAAAAGCGCTAGCATATAAAAAATTTTACAAATACTATAAAAAAAGTACTAGAAAAAAAAGAGTAAAAATTAAAAAAAAAAAAAAAAAAAT